TGTTTCCAAGACACAAGATAAAACAGTACAATCACACAATGTGAGCAAGACAGATAATAAAGTATGCAGTTGTAACTCTATTGTAATAAATAAACAGTTGAAAAGTTAAAAGGGAAAAATGAAAATACTAGAGTACTAATTCATGATATTAGAATGCCAAGGTAAGCTGTCAGTAAACCCATTGTATCCCAATGCCCCTTAGTGTCCCAGGAGCAGTCGATGGGTATTATGTGGGGCAGTAAGAGATGAGGGCCAATTAAGTGCATTGTTCAAATGCACGAACATGCAACATTTTGCATTGTTCATTGGTTTGAAATTGCTTAAAAGGATGCCATATTTTGTCAACGTTCAATTTTTAATTGAATGTTCACCTGCTTAATAGAGAGTGGTTAATGAGTTAATGACTGCTCACCATTTTGTTTGCATCTGCCATGTTATGCCATTTGCTCAAAGGTTCTTGCCTTTTTTTTTCTTCTAAACACACATTACAGTTGTCTAACAGTTTGTCTTTTCTCAGTGTGAAAACCTCATTTTACTAACTGAATATCTTGTCCTTAAAGTGTGGTCTGAGAAAACTTAGATAAGGATGCCTCCTGGCCATCTTACCAATATTGATGCATACAAAGATTTATTATACTTTGCAAAAATAATTAAGCAGAGACTTTAGCCAAAAAAGGATTTGGCCTTCCATATCCTTGTTTGGCTAAAGTCTCTGCCTAATTATTTTTGAAAAGTATAATAAATCTTTGTATGCATCAATATTAGTAAGATGTACTAACCTATTGGTTTTCTACTCCTTCTGTAACCAGAATGAGTACAGAATGTTGTGTCTGCCTGCTCCAAACTCCACTTTCTCAGCTGTTGATTACAATGTGACACTTTCAATAAAGAAACGGAAGAATCTCCAGTCGTGCGATCTTGTTTTCCATGCAGTCCAACAATCACTAACAATCGCAATCAGTTTTTCAGATTTTTCTTATATGCCAGTGGTGAGGTCACCATGTGATTGAATTTCAGCTCTTGTGTCCACGGCTAATTTCATGAAATTTGCTCTGAGGAAGGACCTCAAATTGTGCAGCATGCACTGAACCAATCCACCTTTTTCTGGATCAGCAGCAGTGAATGAAATGAAAGTGTCACCACTCCTTCCTGAAAGTGAGGCAGGAGAGGTAGCTGGCTGGGTGCCATCTTGGGCCTGAATGGCCAGGGAAGTCTATGCTGTAACTTGTAGCAAAGCGCTTATGGGTTTTTTTTTGTGTGTGAGTGGATTAGTCAGGGTGTGATCTAGGGGAGGAGGAGCTGGAATTCCTCTGCAGAATTGCTGTCAAATAAGCTACATTGCGCCCGATGTAGCCATAGCTTCATGCTTTCAAATCCATGAACAGGAAAGTAACACCCTAGGGCAGTGATGGCTAACCTTGACACCATAAATAGTTTCTGGACTACATTTCCCATGATGCTCAGCTAGCTTTTAGACTCTAAAAGCTAGCTGAGCATCATGGGAAATGTAGTCCAGAAACAACTTATGGTGTCAAGGTGAGCCATCATTGCCCTAGGACAATCTCAAACTTGACAGACTGATACTAAAGAAACCCAATATCTCCACTGACAATTAATTAAATGGATTCTATAGTGCCAGGAAAACAAACCCTTTTTTACTGGTATTATAGGCTGCAGTGCCCCCCTTCCGCGGTGGTGAAGGGGTTAAAACCCATTCAGACATTTACCTGAATCCAGCGCCGAGGGCAGACATTGGGTCAGACTCCGTCCATGCTCCTTCCCTGCTGACGTCAGCCGGCGAGGGAGATCTAATGCATATGCGCAGTGATGGCCACACTCGCATTAGGATTTTCCCATAGGAATGCATTATTCAATGCTTTCCTAAGGGGAAAAAAAATCTGACGATGGAGATCCTCATGCATAGCTGGTAGACAGCCACTAGAAAAGGAGTTAACCCTCAGAGGTAATTATTGCAGTTTTCCAGAAACTGCAATAATTACCACTGTAGGGTTAAGTGACATGGGACATCGCACCCAGACCATTTCAATGAGCTGAAGAGGTCTGGGTGCCTACTGTGTCCCTTTAAAGCCAAATGTGGAAGACAATACATAGATGAGGTGAAACTACTTTTTAATAAAACACTGATCCAAAATATTGGATGTGTTAAAAAAAAACAAACAACCAAAATTATCTTTTATGCATCTCTTTTCCATGAGAGTTTTATACGTTTCCAAAGATTTTGGTAACTATATTCACTCTATACCTTGTGATTGTGGCACCTGGATCTGTATTTTAACTTCGGTTACATACAACTCTGTGTATTTGCCTATTTCGGTCACTGTGGAAAAAAAAAAAAAGGACTGAGTTGCTCTGGTATATATATATATATATATATCTACACAATATTAATTCATAATCCGATCAGCAAACAGATTACCGTATATACTCGAGTATAAGACAAGTTTTTGGGGCACATTTTTTGTGCTGAAAAAACCCCACTCGGCTTATACTCGAGTCAAACAATTACATACAACCGACCAGCGGTCCTGGGGGGGGGGGGTGTGACAGCGAGCTGTTACTTACCTTTATAGCAGCTCCGGTCAGCTTAGTTCAGCTCACAGTGTAAATCTCGCGAGACCTGCGGCCGTTAGAGTTAGGGTTACCATGGCAACGCTCCTCGCGGCACGCAGACCGCGAGACTTACACTGTGAGCCTAACGGGGGAGGTGAATGCAGCTGACACAAAGGTAAGTAACAGCTCGCTGCCGGCCCCTCTCCTGCACAGCCCATGCCACTGAACCAGCAGGGAATGATATAGCCCCCCTTCCTGGCCAGGTAACAAGCAGGGAGGGGGGACTAAAAAAAATAAACAATTAAATATCATAATAATAAAAATATTAAAATAAAAAATATTAAAATAACAATATTTAAATAAAATTAAAATAATAAACATGCCCTTCCCCCACCCAGTTTACACACACTACACAAACACACACACATACACTGCATTCATTATATATACACACACACACTGCATTCATACAAACACACACTCGCATTATATACACACACTGCACTCATTATATATACACACACACTCGCATTATATACACACACTGCATTCATTATATATACACACACACACACACTGCATTCATACAAACACACACTCGCATTATATACACACACTGCATTCATTATATATACACACACACACACTGCATTCATACAAACACACACTCGCATTATATACACACACTGCATTCATTATATATACACACACACACACACTGCATTCATACACACACTCGCATTATATATGCACACACTCTGCATTCATTATATACACACACTACACAAACATAAACACACACTGCATTCATTATATACATGAACTGTAAATAAATATTCAATTAATGTAATTTTATTGGGATCTAATTTTATTTAGAAATTTACCAGTAGCTGCTGCATTTCCCACCCTAGGCTTATACTCGAGTCAATAAGTTTTCCCAGTTTTTTGTGGTAAAATTAGGCTTATATTCGGGTCGACTTATATTAGAGTATATACAGTATATAATTTACCTAATGGGCTTTTCTTTTTCCCAAGAAATGCTTATTAGATCATCACAAAATAAGTAGAAGCAGGAATCCAGCCAAAAGGAAATGTGACAGTTTAAAAAAACAAAACAAAAACATTAACAAATCACTTATGTTACTGTTGATATGGTATGATATACTGTACCATCCCCTCCTTCAGGACTTTGACTATATGGTGTAACATTTGCTGATGGAAAGGGTGATGGAAACCCTAGAATACATAACTGTTACATGCACTATGTAAGACTAATGACTATAGACAATAATTGAAAGTATGGTAAAGTTGACCCAAAGTTTTAAGTCCGAGGCTACAAAACACTGACCACCGTGAAATTATAGCCAGCTATGAGCATTTATAGATACCATGGAGGTGATTGACTCACAGAATTGCATGAGCCAAAATACCAAATGCCCCCTTTATAGATGAACTTACTTACATATTTATTAAGGGGAGAATGTTACATTTTAGTAGACCAAATAAATAACACCACATACAAATAAACAAATAAAATGCAGGATAATTCATATGGTGATAGCAGCTTTTATAAACCTGCATAACAAGAAATGTGATTTTTAAATGATGGATATTAGATGTCAGGCATTAAATGAATCCTGTTGAACATATACACACACACACATATATTTATATATATTTTAACAGTTTAGTGGGTATACCCCCATATAAAACATTTTTTGCTGCATGTTTTCTTTGGGTTAATTTGAAAAAAAAAAGCTTGAAAAAGCTGTACCAGGACAAACCGCTACCATTTGCTCTATGTAGCTAAGTGATGCAGAAGAAAACCTCCCTGGCAAAATGGCAAGCTGATGTGTTTTAGTTACTAGAGTGTTCCTTTACTTTACAAAGGGTGACAACTATTCATTTAAAATATTTTCTTTTTTGGTGCATTTATTATGCATTTCTGTATTTCATTTTCTAAATGGCTCTCTGTTCTGTTTCTGTCATTTGTACAGTTGAAATTGTTTTTTGTTTTTATTTAAATTAAAGATGCCCAATCCCCTGAACCTGAGTAGTATTACTCCACCAGATCCCTCCCCTTATTCAGTCATTAGGTCTCCAATTCCCTGGTTTAGGGGTAGGCACACAGGGGAGATTTGGATTGTCGATGGTTGCCTATGCCTACCCTAGTGACCCCTTCCAAATATGACCCTACCTTTTCCTCTCCACACGAATAGGCAAGAAAATAATCAGGTTTGTTGTTTGCACACATCTACAGTTTGTGAGTTATTCTCCTTTTACTGTTATTTAAAGTGACACTAAAGCCACCAGAACAATTGTTCTGGTGAGTAGAATAATTTCCTTCAGGCTTTTTGCTGTAAACACTGTCTTTTCAGAGAAAATCCAGTGTTTACATTACAGCTTAGTGATAACTCCACTGGCCACTCCTAATATGGCTGCTAGATGTGCTTCCTGGTGCAGTGCTTTACAGTGTGCAGCACTGACATTCAGAGTCTCCACCCTCTGCATGGAGACTGAACTTTCCTCATGAAGATTCATTGCTTCAATTCATCTCTATGAGGAGCTGATGATTGGCCAGGGCTGACTTGTTGCTGGTTCTGCCCCGATTGTTTGACTTGTGCTGGTTCTGCCTCTGATCTGCCTCCTTGACAGTCTCAGTGTCACGATTACTGTGTGACCCAACACACAAAACTATATTAACACAAACAAAGTATACCGGACTTTAGAATGGCCGTACTTAACGTAAAAGAGAATGGTCAAATAACAAGCCAAGGTCGGGGATACAGAATGAGACAATACGAATAAACTAGCCAAGGGTCGGGATATCAGAAGTAGGGAAATTCAAAAAGATAAGCCAAAGTCAAAAACCCAAAAATATATTAAGAACGCGCTCTCTGAGAACCAACAAGTGGAAACCACGACAGGGCACTAAGAAAAGGCATTACAGGGTTTAAATGTGCCTCTCACTGCTGTGATTGGTTAGTACATGGCCTTTGACCCCAAAATGTGCATATGCATCGATATCGTGACGTAACACACACGCCGGCGCCATCTTTAATGTGGGTAGTGCGCCCTTTAACAGTAAGAACGTGACCGCAACGGCCGGCGTCCCTTAGAACGCCGCACCAGCCGGGACCCATCTTCTGGGAGGATCCGGCGGCACTCTGTGATCCAGGTAAGTGAAACTTTCCCTTTTCGGCACGGCTGCACATGAGCAGGGCGGTCACGTCAATACAAACCCCCTGCGCCGTGACACTCCTAAGGGAAAACATTGTGATTGGCTCAGAACAAAACTTCTGATGATGTCAGCCAAGCAGGCAGATTAGGGGCAGAGCCAACCAATGCAGACTTGAACAAAAGTAAGATTTTACTATATTTAGGGGGCAGGAAGGGGAGCAGATGGTGGTTTTAGCATGAGAGGGTCAGGAATACATGGTTTGTGTTCCTGACCCTATAGAGTTCCTTTACTAAGAGATGCAGTATGAACATGAGCACATGAGATGAAATAATAAACTGACTGACTGCTAAAAGTAAAGTTTTTACATAATTTGATTTGCACCTGTCTAAAGAAGATATTTAATCATAATAATAATGCAATGGGAATAGCACTAAGCACTGATAACAGAGTAGAAAATAAAATCCTAACTCATAAATTCCGGTAACAGATTTATTAAATGTTTTAATCACAATATAAAAGAATACATTTTACCTTATAGATCTGTTGAGAAAAACAGATGTAATGATGATTTTATAATAAGCACAGGACAGCACCATTTAACAAAAAGTATTTGACCAATACACAACTCTGAACAAGCATTCTTGGTACATTCATGAAAAATAAACATCTTATTTTGGAGTATAAAAATACGCTATTTAACCAATTGCTTTATCTTTAATTAAAATTCCACATTCTAAGCCACATTTGGGTATTTAGAAACATAAGCCATACATAAAAAAGTATACATAGACAAGATCTCTGATTCAGTGAGATGTTTACTTGTGCTATATGTATCTATATGGACTCACACAAACTATTCATGCTGTTGGGCAGGAATAGTGCTGCCTATGTACGCAGAATTCACAAGTTCTCGGAAATAAAGAAATTATTTAAGCAATATGGTTTACTTGTAATTTCTCTGATTGTTCAACTGTTTCAGCTGCAGAATTCTAAAGATGTTGCAGGGCAGCTCTTTACAATGACTTTCTAACAGCATTAAGAATTAATTAGTATCAAGTAAAACAATGTGTGAATTTGGCAACTCTAAGTATAGAGGGAGTACAAATAATAAATACACTGACATTTTATGTGCTGAGAAATGCATTTGTGCTTTGAGGGAAAAATAAAGTTAGCCAAATAAAATACAAAAAAAAACCCCCAATTTGCATAGAGTATTGCACTTTAGATTAAAACAAACACACAAACAAACAAACAAAACACATACAATATACTGAATGTCCAAATATAGCATTCCAGGGGTAACCTGGGCTAAACTGTAAACTAATGTCATGGACCAACCAACCAAGTTATTCTGAACATGAAATGTAGCACCCTGCAGGTTATTTGACATTGATAAAAAAAAAAATGGTTAATAAAATAAAATCCCACTGAGAGACAGACAGGATAAGGGGGAATAGCCATAATAATTTTACAATTTTGGTAAAATAAATGTACACAATGTACACAGTAGGTTTACTAGTGCTGATAAATAAGTTACCAGAATATGCTCTACAGCATTCCGTCGTCAGACTTTACAATAATGCTGTAAGCATATAGCGAAAGAGAAACACTGTACAAGTAAAACAGGGAGAAGGTTAAACACGGACATTTCTTATTGTAAGGCATTATCTGTAAGAGGCTGGTGTACATGCCTGTAGCTAGCACTGAAACTAACAGCTTCCATGTAGATAAGGTATTCTTGTTAGCAAACATCATAATATTCTTTGATAATAACTTACTTTAAGGCAGTCTGCTTTGTATTATGCCTTGAGACATGGATTTATATTTAGATAAAAGCATCCTGAGCAAGGCCTGTATTGCTTTAGGACAGGGGTAGGCAACCTTTGGCACTTCAGATGCTATGGCTATAAGAGCACAAGATGTAATCCACAGTGCTGGCAAAGCAACAAGGGAGATGTAGTCCAAAACATCTAGAGTGCCTACCCCTGCTATGGAACATTAAATGAGTCCCAATAAATATTTCATTCCCCATTGTTTGGTTTTTCGACTCACCTTCACGTTTTTCGACTCACCTTCACACGTGACAGAACTAGAAAGCAATAATAACAGATCCACTGACTGCCTTTCCCACTACATTTCCATTTTCCATTCTCTCAGTTGGCAAATAATGGTAACTGAATAAGATGGATTCACCACATAATTACACCATTATAATGTGCGTATAGGTTGCTAGCTACCTGTATCATGTAGAAGGCACCATACTTATTCATGAGAAAATATGCAAAACAATGAACACATTTATTCTGGTGGTAGCAAGTGTATAAACTTAACACTAAAACAAAATAAAACAACTAATACAGAAGGCATTAAGGGTACTAGCAAAATAAAACAATGTAACAAAGGCTTTGAACCTTGTTTTTGCACACTTGTTCTTCAATGTCGTAGCCTATAATGTACGGCTTGTCAAGATACTAACACACCCTTAACTTGCTCTTAACAGGGAATGTATTCAGTCTACAGATGGAATTAGTCATAACTCCTACCTTTTTCTTAGACATTGGTATATAGCCCCACCCACTAGGATTTGTTTAACTCTGAACGGATTCCTCCCAATTTTGTGCTAAGAGAAGAGACATTGTTTCCTAGAATCAATAGAATTGTACAATTCCCAGAATAGGTTAAGGCTTTTGTTGTGTTTTTTAATATGTAGGATGACAGGATAAAGTGATAAGGCATATATTCCACAATCATTAAGCTGGTCTTAGTGGTAGCACAAAGAAATGAAAACTCTGTGACATCAGCTACCTTTGACGACCATGTATCTTCATTGTTAATGCTGGGTAATCAGAATCTATTAGTGTTGTATTACACATTTAGTGCAAACGCATTTATAGTGTTTTTTGTTGGTTCGTTTGTTTTTTGTCTCCTGAACTAAATTGGCCTTCTATACGTATATCCCATAAAGATATAAGAGGTGAATGTGTAAGCATTTTGACAAACATGTTTTCATTTTGTGCAAATGTTTTCATGTTATGTTTTCTGTGAACAAACTCATAGTTGACATTTAAAGTTATCAAAAAGGTTTCCTCATTTGCAAACCGTACATGTAAAATCAGTGGCTGTGCATATGGAAAAATGTAAATAAAATGGTTGCTAACAACTGGTTATAACAGTACACTAGTTGAGAACACACAGATCTGGTTTTATATACATGTTATAATTTACTAGTAAAAAAGTGCATTAACTTTAAAAATTACTTGGCGCTCAATGTCTGCGTTTAACCGAACACCCATTAATACCTACTGCTTGCTGCTCATCAAGTTACTCCTGTCATCACACATGTGTACAACATATTAGTGCAGAATATGACGCAGACCATGACAATATCATTTCTTTTACCCCTTTTATAATGGATTTTATAATCAAATACAAAACTTTGGTCCACTTTGTTATATACAGTTGCAATATCTTAATCAAGATAGTGCTTCCTTTGGTTATTAAGAATAAGAGTCTTGAAATCTCAATGTCCTTTTATTTCCTTTTAAAACAGTTCAGGTAGATTTTTCATTGTCCTCTCCTGTCTTTTGAACCCTTGAATATGTTTTACACGAAGATTTAAAGCAGCTAGGAGGCCAGGTGATCGGCCAGGAAAAGCAACATGGGATACTGGCTTGGACGTTCTTCTCGAAGAAGGAAAACACTGGAAACCACCAAACTCGAGAAAGGAAGTTTGTAGGTGATGAAGACTTTAATGCCTAAAGAGTAAAAAATAAACAAACAAAATAACAATATTAAGACATCTTGCAATATATGGTTCATGTACCATCAGTATAATGAGAATAGGGGGAAAATACAGACATGATAGGGAGGTTTTAATATCACCACTGAGGAAGGAGTTATTACAGTCTAATATCAGGATCATTACTTCTAGATTCTTGCTTACACATGCCATTGTATTACAAGCTTTAAAGATGGAACCTTCGCTTCTGACATTTATAATTACACAATTAAAGGAACAGCCCGCACTCTTAAAACACAATGTAGGGCTTTTTTCAAAACTATTGCTTCAACACGATGTATGGAGTTCACTTAAAGGTGTAAGAGAATACACCTGTTTCTCTCAAGTCTATAAAACCTATTCCAGAATATATGGATACTTTACGCGAGGCTCACATTTATCACAGATGTTAAACTGTTCGATTGGTTTGGTATCATAGTCAGACCATGCTCTTGTACTCCTGTCATTAAAGGACTAGTACGATTGACAGGGCCGCAGTCCATGGAGGATATGACACAGGCTTTTCTGACACATTGCAAAATAAAATAGCACTTTACTTCAAGCTTAATAAAGACTCTGGAGTCTCAGCACACATAATCTGGGAACTTCAAATCCAGAGAGCATCTATGCTTAAAAAAACAATACCAATAAAAGTCACAGGATTGGCACAAACAACTGTATGATCTTAGGAGAAGTAATCAAATAGCTTCTTCTTCTGAGCTAAAAGAGAAAACCATTGGGCTCAAGAAATGGATTAATGCGACCAGCCGGCACATAGTCTGTTTTTGTTTGAAAAGACTGAAAGCTCAGCAGTTTGAACATGGTAACAGGGCTGAGAATGGTTTTAGCAGAAAGTTTAAAGACAAACTGGTACAATTGAAAAATGTTTAACTCCTTTCCCCCATAGGACAAAAAGTTATAGCACCTGCTGACATAAGTTACAAAGTCACACAATATTATACCAAATTGTACAATTTAAACACATCAAATACATAATCAACACATAAAGGTACTAAACCCTACTTAAAATATTGCCTTGCCGACATTAACACAAGACCAAGCCAAAATGTTTGCCTATTTTTCAGTTAAACACAGATGTATAAATCTGAGCTAAAATATATGCTGATAGACTTTATGATATCCTTTTACACTTAATACATAGTGACCAAATGGGGTTTATAAGAAGAAGACGGGATACCACCAGGAAAATCTTGGACCTAATGTACAGTTTATAATGCTCAGGAGAAGATGGAGTGTCGCCATCACTCTGCTGAAAAAGCATTTGAATGTGATTTTTAAAGGTGGTCGTGGTTAAGTTTAAGTTTCCGGGCAGGTATAGGTCAGCAGTTTATAGCAGGGCTGTCCAACCTGCGGCCCCCAGATGTTGCTAAACTACAACTCCCATGATTCCCTGGCTATCATAGGCGTGCACACGGGGTGTGCCGGGTGTGCCTGGGCACACCATAATCCCCGCTGCACGCCTATGGATTGAGTCCTGCAGGAACAGTGTTCCTGCACTTTTTTGAGCAGGAACGCTGTTCCTGCAGGCACTCAGCGCCCCCAAATGCCCCCTTCCTCCCACCCTTGTTCCCCCCTCGGTCGTGTGCTTGTCTCCAGATCAGACGCGGCGAGGGAGCTGTGTCCACTACGCTCCCTCGCACCGCTGATGCTGGGAGCCGTCATATTCCGGCTCCCAGCTACTGTAGACAGCCTGCGTGGCGAGAGGGAGCAAAGAGGACACAGCTCCCTCACCGCATCTGATCTAGAGACAGGCACCCGACCCACTGGACCCCAGGGGGAGATAGGGAGGCTGGGTGGACATTTTTTAATTAAAAAATAATAATTTGTATGTGTGTGTGTCTGTGAATGTATGTGTGTGTGTCTGTGAGTGTGTGTGTGTGTGTCTGTTAGTATGTGTGTCTGTGAGTGTATGTGTGTGTGTCTGTGAGTGTGTGTCTGTGAGCGTATGAGTGTGTGTGTCTGTGAATGTGTGTGTGTGTCTGTGAATGTATGTGGGTGTGTGAGTATGTGTGTGCACGCATATATATATATGTGTGTCTGTATATGTGTGTCAGTGTGTGTGTGCGCATATATATATATACATATACACACACACACACACGTGTATATTATTTTTTTGGGGGGTGGAAATCTTGGGAGAGTTCCCACACTTTATTCCCCAGGACTTCTCCGGAGGTCTCCGGATCTCCCCTGTCTGCTCACGCAGTGCCGCCGACATCTGAGTGCCGGCTCTGCTCTAAGCCTCCATGGGCCGACGGGGAGATCTATCTCACCAGCCCACAGCAGCATGGAGGGAGGCAGGAGAGGACCCGGGGAGCTCTAGACACCACGGCAACGCTCAGATCTCGCAAGGGTTAACTCTAGCCCCGGAGGCTAGAGTTCACTCTCCACTGGACCACCAGGGATGGCACATGGCAGCAAAGATCCCCCCTCCCTACATTGTTATGGGCAAGTTTTAGAATGAAATGTTGTATTTCTTAAATTGTGTACTTTGTCTTTAAGAGATATTGCAAATTGACAAGGTGTTAGAAATGGAACATATTGGTTTTCATAGATGTTTCTTTAAGCAATAACCTCAGTGCATAATATGTTTGCGCCATTTTGTCCCAGACAAATTACAATAACAATAATGCATAAACAAGCTTCAAGGCTATACTACGACTCTTTCAGTACACAATATACTGTGGTAACCTCAAGTTAAAGGACCACTATAGTGCCAGGAAAACATACTTGTTTCCCCACCCTCAGGGTCCCCCTCCCGCCAGGAAGGGGTTAAACTTACCTCTTTCTCCAGCGCCGGGCGGGGAGCTCTCCTCCTCCTCTCCTCCTCTTTGGCTGAATGCGCATGCACGGCAGGAGCCACCAGGGATGGTGCTTTCCTATGGATGCTTGCGTCTTCTCACTGTGATTTTCACAGTGAGAAGCACGCAAACGCCTCTAGCGGCTGTCAATGAAACAGCCACTAGAGGCTTTAGATGCTGGATTAACCTATTTATAAACATAGCAGTTTCTCTGAAACTGCTATGTTTATAAAAAAAAAATGGGTTAACCCTAGCTGGACCAGGCACCCAGACCACTTTATTAAGCTGAAGTGGCCTGGGTGTCTATAGTGGTCCTTTAATGGAACTTCCCCAAATCCGGGAATCTCACACGACTGTGCACTTACGTCTTAGTATAAACAACAGATAACCTATTCAGACTTTAAGATGCCATCTTGAACTAAGTCAGGAAAATTTCCATGACGTATGCACCCTTTAGTTATGGCCTTGTATGCTTGCCAAATTAAGGGAGTTCCTAAAATGAATAAAGTAAAAGAAGTGTTACTTTTTCATATATGAACTACAGAGACCCTAAAATGAAGACACCTATGGTATAAATAGGTGTACTTTTAAAATGTTAAAAAACAGAGGAGAGACTTTGAGACAGACGCTGCTCCATCTTAAAATGACAGAGAGGCTGACATGATGACATCTTCAGAAGGGTATGTTAACCTATTAATGATATTTGCAAGCATTTAGTTTAATCTTAGAAACTCTGCTATATGGATTTTATGTCTATATTTATATTTTTATAAAATAAATATCAAAAAGACAAAACTGTATTGCTTCCAAGACAATTCTTATTTTATACTGTATTCTCAATTATTTATATATGTTAAATAGAGGATCTCTTACACTAACTATATAAAATTATGGCTAAGATATTTGTATGGTTAGCCCTACTAAGTTCTATGCTTTAAGACATTATAGTGGTAAATAAGGGAACCAGCCGCGGTAAGAAGGGAGGGGGGATATTTACTAATCTGCCCCCACCTCCACAATCCTTCCAAACATACAGCACACACACACACATACAGCACCCACACACACACACACAGCACCTACACACATACAGCACACTCACACAAACAGCACCCACACACATACAGTACACATACAGCACCCTCACACACACAGTACACACACACACACACACACACACACAAACAGCACCCTCACAAATACACAACACCCACACACATCACACAAACGGCACCATTACACACACATCACACACACACAGCACAGTAACAGGACCCAAACACACACACACAAACACCCTCACACACAGCACACTAACAGCACCCTCACACATAAACAGCACCCACACAAACACCCTCACCCACATAGCACACTAACAGCACCCTCACACACACACATCACACTAACAGCACCCTCACACACACTAACAGCACACACAGCAGTGTATGTGTGTATACAGGGAGTGCAGAATTATTAGGCAAATGAGTATTTTGACCACATCATCCTCTTTATGCATGTTGTCTTACTCCAAGCTGTATAGGCTCGAAAGCCTACTACCAATTAAGCATATTAGGTGATGTGCATCTCTGTAATGAGAAGGGGTGTGGTCTAATGACATCAACACCCTATATCAGGTGTGCATAATTATTAGGCAACTTCCTTTCCTTTGGCAAAATGGGTCAAAAGAAGGACTTGACAGGCTCAGAAAAGTCAAAAATAGTGAGATATCTTGCAGAGGGATGCAGCACTCTTAAAATTGCAAAGCTTCTGAAGCGTGATCATCGAACAATCAAGCGTTTCATTCAAAATAGTCAACAGGGTCGCAAGAAGCGTGTGGAAAAACCAAGGCGCAAAATAACTGCCCATGAACTGAGAAAAGTCAAGCGTGCAGCTGCCACGATGCCACTTGCCACCAGTTTGGCCATATTTCAGAGCTGCAACATCACTGGAGTGCCCAAAAGCACAAGGTGTGCAATACTCAGAGACATGGCCAAGGTAAGAAAGGCTGAAAGACGACCACCACTGAACAAGACACACAAGCTGAAACGTCAAGACTGGGCCAAGAAATATCTCAAGACTGATTTTTCTAAGGTTTTATGGACTGATGAAATGAGAGTGAGTCTTGATGGGCCAGATGGATGGGCCCGTGGCTGGATTGGTAAAGGGCAGAGAGCTCCAGTCCGACTCAGACGCCAGCAAGGTGGAGGTGGAGTACTGGTTTGGGCTGGTATCATCAAAGATGAGCTTGTGGGGCCTTTTCGGGTTGAGGATGGAGTCAAGCTCAACTCCCAGTCCTACTGCCAGTTCCTGGAAGACACCTTCTTCAAGCAGTGGTACAGGAAGAAGTCTGCATCCTTCAAGAAAAACATGATTTTCATGCAGGACAATGCTCCATCACACGCGTCCAAGTACTCCACAGCGTGGCTGGCAAGAAAGGGTATAAAAGAAGAAAATCTAATGACATGGCCTCCTTGTTCACCTGATCTGAACCCCATTGAGAACCTGTGGTCCATCATCAAATGTGAGATTTACAAGGAGGGAAAACAGTACACCTCTCTGAACAGTGTCTGGGAGGCTGTGGTTGCTGCTGCACGCAATGTTGATGGTGAACAGATCAAAACACTGACAGAATCCATGGATGGCAGGCTTTTGAGTGTCCTTGCAAAGAAAGGTGGCTATATTGGTCACTGATTTGTTTTGTTTTGTTTTTGAATGTCAGAAATGTATATTTGTGAATGTTGAGATGTTATATTGGTTTCACTGGTAATAATAAATAATTGAAATGGGTATATATTTGTTTTTTGTTAAGTTGCCTAATAATTATGCACAGTAATAGTCACCTGCACACACAGATATCCCCTAACATAGCTATAACTAAAAACAAACTAAAAACTACTTCCAAAAATATTCAGCTTTGATATTAATGAGTTTTTTGGGTTCATTGAAAACATGGTTGTTGTTCAATAATAAAATTAATCCTCAAAAATACAACTTGCCTAATAATTCTGCACTCCCTGTATATATATATGTATATATATATATATACACACATATATAAATCCAAAAAATTACCGGCACTCACGGTTTTCTCAATCCAAACAATTTCTCTTTATTCCAAATCCACCATCTGATGGTGGATTTGGAATAAAGAGAAAATAAAGAGAATTTGTTTGGATTGAGAAAACCGTGAGTGCCGGTAATTTTTTGGATTTATATATGTGTGTATATATATATACATATATATATATATACACACATACACTGCTGTGTGTGCTGTTAGTGTGTGTGAGGGTGCTGTTAGTGTGATGTGTGTGTGTGAGGGTGCTGTTAGTGTGCTATGTGGGTGAGGGTGTTTGTGTGGGTGCTGTTTATGTGTGAGGGTGCTGTTAGTGTGCTGTGTGTGAGGGTGTTTGTGTGTGTGTGTTTGTTAGGGTCCTGTTACTGTGCTGTGTGATGTGTGTGTAATGGTGCCGTTTGTGTGATGTGTGTGTTGTGTATTTGTGAGGGTGCTGTTTGTGTGTGTGTGTGTGTGTGTGTGTGTGTACTGTGTGTGTGAGGGTTTGGATTTATTAATTTTGCAACCAGAGCACCAGGTATCAACATTTTTTGGGTTGGAGTGCAGGAATTATTGTTGTTTTGTATACACATACATATATATACATATATATATATATATATATATATATATATATAAAACATGGGGGGTGGCCAATCACCTTAACATGCTTTTGTGTATTGTTTATTTTATATATATATATATATATATATATATATATATACATATATACACATCCGGCGTGTGTTTGTGCTTTAGGGTGCACACCCTAATGCACCCTAAAGCAATAGGCTGCACACGCCTATGCTGGCTATCTGTTTCACTGTTTCTCCATAAGAGCAAACCCAGATGTTTGAGGAATTAGACTAGGAGACAGGGAATTTGGGGTCAATCTATTTGCTGACAATGCATTGCTTATTCTAACACATCCCTTGATTTCCTAACCAAATTTACACAAATGCCTTCAAGCAAATAGCACATGTGTGAAAAGTGTGTCCTCTTTTATATTTTCGAAATAGTGCAGATTTCACTAGAAATTAACAATTAAGCAGACAACAGGCCCCGTTACTTCCTGGTATGCTTAGCTTATTTGCACTGAACTCAAAAGGCAGCAATTGTCCAGAGCATCTGCCTAGCAAAAACTTCTCATTGAGCTGCACTGGGAAGTCTGTGATTGAACAGTTACATAGTCTGGGTGAGGTTAGGAGAGGAGGGCTTGCACAGGCAACAGATCTGCAGTTTTTGCAAGCGGTTTTTAGATATAACTACAGTGAAAAAATGCATTATTAAATGCATGCAAGATTTCATTTGGGGTATACCTACTAAACAGTATTTAGTCAGTGGAATGTCCCTTTAAGACTTTGGAGGGAAAGTTTTAATCCTGGACCAGTCGAATCACAGCTTTAAAAATGGCCCCTTTTCTTAAGATATCCGATATCTTTTTTGAAATTTGCATTTACATGTTCAAATCGAATTTGAGGGACTTTACAACCTTTGTTTGACAGAATAAAAAATCCAGAGTAGCTGCCAATATTTTGCACAAACCGGCTTCCGAGGGTGCCCTGGGCTTACCACACATTAAAGACTACTATAGAAGGGCTCTGTAGGGGGGCCATTTAAGACCATCCTTCCCAAACATGTTACTACAATCCACGAAAATAGTTCTGCGCAATTGGTTGCCAACTATTGTAAATCTTCATTGTGGTCTACGGCAAATCAGTTATATACGGGGTGTTCTCTCATTATCCTTGTATTACGAACTGTGGGAGATGGGAGGGGTAAGGTCCATGTATCAGGTGTTCAAAGATGGGAAGATTATTCCCTTTCGAAAACTGCGGTCCCTGTATGCACTCTTATTTGCAATTCTTAAGCTCCTAAATAGCCAGCCTCCAAGAGCTGATTGGACAGCTGTCCATTTTGGAGAAAATGTGTTAAACATACTGGTTGTTAAAGTACTCTCTATTTCTATGGATATGTGAAGGGGGGGGGGCGTCTCTGCAGCCTCACAGATTTGTCCCGGCATAGCACAAAGAATTAGGGTGCATTATTGCTTCAGACAGATGGATAAATGTGTTTTAAATCCATAAGGGGCTTACATTCTGTGCATCACACATAGAAATTATACGTCAAATAGCATACAGGTGGTATACAGTTCTAGCTTGGTTAACTCGTATCACTGGCACAGACAATGTGAAATGCTGGAGGTGCCAGTTAGACAGGACACTATGCTACATGAGTGGTATAATTGCACACTGATATTTAAAAGAAACAGGGATACACCTGCTACCTACTGTTGAGTCATGTCTGCATATTATGCTATATGAAAACTTACCTAGCATATTTTGAAAGATGACACTAACAGATTCTCAAGTATATGAACTTTTATTCAGAGTACTACATTATACTGGCAATCATCATGATGATTAAAACATTAATTTTTCAGACTTAACAGTCAGCAGGAATAGAAGTTTCATCTTTTGCCAAAGCTCTGTAGCTATGGTGTAATATCACATGTTTTGCACAGTAATCTGTTCTTTTAGTAGTTCTCTATTGATAGAGCTAAATTCCTTTTAAGACATTGTTTATTACATATTAATTTCCTCTTACCCATAATATAATCAAAAAATATCAATTGCATTACAGACCCTGAATAAAGTTAGCATACAATGAGCACAAATCATAAACTGGTTTGCATAGAACATCTGATTCACTGACATTCACAAACTAAACAAACAAAATACATCTCTACCTACTTAATTATTCAGTGGAAAAATCTCATCTAAAAAGCATGCAGCTAAACAGATTTTAGAGCCAGGGACGTCAGAAGAGGAAGGAGAGTCCCAGCGCTGAGGGAGCCCGGCGCTGGAAAAAAGGTAAGGGATTAACCCCTTCCTCGCCCTTCAGCACCACGGGAGTGGGACCCTGAGGGTGGGGCCACCCTCAGGGCACTATAGTGGTCCTTTAAAGGACAACATTATAAATAAATAAATGATTTTAATTAGCTGATTAAAATAATTATTTCCACAGTTATTGCCAGGTATTGGAAGGGTGCTTTAGGTACCGTTATTCCATCCACCATGAACCTAAAACACTCTGAGTTCCTGATCGACTACTGTGTTATCAATTGAAGTTCATGGCCTGCACTGTTTGGAACCAGCTGTGTGCTGTTGGTGCTTTTCTCTATATCAGTTGAAGTGTGCTTTCCGTATTAATCTCTCAATACCTTTTCTGAGATAAAAGTTTGTCTTTACTTTTCAAAGTCCTTCTTTGCTTGCCATTTTCCACAACATAAAGGACCACTATAGGCACCCAGACCACTTCAGCTCAATGAAGTGGTCTGGGTGCCAGGTCCCTCTAGTGTTAACCCGGCCTCTAGTGGCTGTCTCATTGACAGCCGCTAGAGGTGCTTCCGCGCTTCTCACTGTGAAAATCACAGTGAGAAGACGCGGATGTCCATAGGAAAGCATTGAGAAATGCTTTCCTATGGACTGATTGAATGCGCACGCGGCTCTTGCTCACGTCGGAAGATGGAGGAGAGTTCCCCAGCACTGAGGGAGCCCGGCGCTGGAGTAAGGTAAGAGTTTAACCCCTTCCTCCCCCCTCAGCCCGGCGAGAGTGGGACCCTGAGGGGGGGCAATGCTTTCCTATGGGGAGGGCCTACTGAGTTCGACGACCATGCCATTAGGTCCACCCATCGGATGACAATTGGCGAGTAAATAAAGTTTTTTTTTTAAAACCCTTTATGTTCCTGGGGGCGGGGGAGAGGGGGAGGTGTGAGGGAAGTAGGGACCAGAGGGCACTATAATATCCCTTTAATTCCCTTTCTACCTGTCTTTCATCCAGTTGTGTTCCAGATATCTCAATAAGAGCACTCACAAGACCTTGATAGGTCAAATCGAAGGCACAGTGTGTGCGTCCTTAAATTGACATGTGATGATCATTTGACTTATATTTGTTAGCTACCATACTTAAAAATTTAATAGACAGTTTTGTGTGAAGACAGGATTTTCTAATCTCTTACCTTTTCATTAGCTATTGCATGATACCACCAAAACAGTCTTGTGGTGACAAAATATGCAACTACAACATCGACTGTGTAGTGTTCACGAGCAACTAAAATACAGATCACTCCGGTAGCACTTAGAAACCAGCAGATTAGGTGGTACCACCAAAAGTGACGGGGAGAGTCTGCAAGACAGAAAATATTTAAATTACAGAAGTGAAGATGATCAAGTAAGCGTTCACAGAACTAAAAACACAAATACCAAACTAAATTAAACATCTTAAAAGCCAATGGTCCATCAGCAGCAGAAGGACATATGCATTTTGAGGACGATGTCAGTTGATACAGGTTGTGCACTATTTTAAAATTGATTTTCTGCCACTGGTGTGATGCAGATGGTTTATTTTCATCTTTATTCCACCATGTGAAAAGAACTTGGGGATTCACGAAAAGGACTTGGGGATTGTTCTAGATAACAAACTATTCACCAATGTGGAATGTCAATCAGCAGTGGCTAAGGCCAGTAAGGTGTTGTCATGCATGAAAAAGGGCATTCATTCTCAGGATGAGAATATCATTTTGCCTCTTTATAAATCACTGGTAAGACCACATATTGAATATGCCGTGCAATTTTAGGCACCTTTTCTAAAGAAGGATATTATGGCACTAGAAAAAGTGCAGAAGCGGGCTACAAAATTAATAAAAGGAATGGAACATATCAGCTATGAAGAAAGGTTAACAAATTTAAACCTCTTTAGTTTAGAAAAACATCGCCTGAGATGGGATATAACATTATACAAATATATTCGGGTCTAATACAAACCATTGTGTGGAAATCTATTCACAAACCGGACTTTACATAGGACACGAGGCCATGCTTTTAGATTGGAAGAAAGAAAATTTCCTCTAAGGCAAAGGAAAGTTTTTTTTTTACTGTAAGAACAATAAGGATGTAGAATTCTCTGCCTGAAGAAGTGGTTTTATCAAAGTCCATACAGATGTTTAAACAGCAACTAAATGCATTCTTGCAAAAACAGATTATTCAAGGATCTAATTTTTCAATGTAGGGTAATAGCTGCTTGTTTCAAGGATAAATCTGACTGCCATTCTAGGGTCAATAATTAATTTTTTCCTAGTTTGTTGCAAATTTGGAAGTGCTTCAAACTGGGTTTTTTCCTTCTTTTGGATTAACAGCAAAATACAAATGTGAGGAAGGCTTAACTTGATGGACACAAGTCTCTTTTCAGCTATATAACTATGTAACTATGTTTTACACTTGGTAAATTGAATTATGACCATATTACCTACTTGTAAGTCATTTTTAACATATTACAATCATTGTAAATAAAATATATCAGTAGGCCCTTTTGATATCCAGTATAGGATTGCAGCATGAATTTGTGATTTAAGAAGTCAGTGTGGTGTTAGATTTAACTCCAACAATGTTCTGCAGTAATCGTTAGTGATTGCAGGTGAGCTTGCTGTGTCAGGGTTGAAGGAGTGGCTGGTGCTTAGAGGGAGCTTGAACTGGTGCAGCTATGGCTAGAGCTGTAGACAAGACAAAATTGTAGTATAAGAAGCTTAAGTGGGACAGGGGAGAGTTGAAAGAGGAGGGGGATACTAGAGAAAGAAAGAGAAGTGACGTAGATCAAGGAAGCTTAGATTTCTAATTATCCGAGACTAACTAAATTTAAGATGTTGACAGTGGAGATTAGAAGACAGTGATCAGACAGAAGAATATTTATGTCAGATATTTTATAGACAAAGAAAAGACTGGAAAACTATATGTGTGTAGGGGAGTTAGTCCATTGCATGAGGAAAACATAGGAGGTGATAGAAATCCAGAGGTTATTTAGTTGTTCAGTTGGTTAATATAGATGTTAGTAGAGATGTTGGCAACACAGGCTGAGAGAGGATTGAAAAGACTGTGGGAGTGGACGTCAAAAGAGGAAAAGTAGAGTGAGGGACAAGTGGCAAAGGATAGAAGGAATAGCAAAAAACCCACACCACCATGCTTAGCATGGCTAGACCTACAACCAACTGTATGATAGGAGGGCAAATGTAGTGTGTCAGGGGAGAGATCTAGGTTTCAGTCAATGACAAGAAATGTAAAGTTACTCCAAACACCATAGCCACTTCACATGATTTAAAGTGGACATGGTGCCTGTACATGCAGCGTCTCGCATTGATACGCTAAGCATACATAGTTTAACCCCTCTGCTACTGGAAATGTAATTCTACTTCCAGCAGTGTCATGGGGGCGAAATTAGCCAGCCTGAGCCAGATTTTCAGACTGGCTAATGTCAATTCTGTGCATATTCCAACAAGACCCAGGGAAACAGGGCAATGCTGTAGTAGTTATGATTCTTAAATTAATACTTAATGGAAAAGGAGATGAGGAGATTGCAAAAACAATTTATATTAAAACTAGATAATTTGTTTATGGCGAGTTTATTTTGTTTTACCCTTAAAAGGGGGGCATGGGGTCCTGAATACACCAAGGAACAATCTAAACATTAAAAATAAATATATCTGGTTTTAACATTAAAGTGTTCCATTTGGTTCACATGCATTTTGTTTTACATATATGAAATGAATCTCTCTCCACTGTGATGCAGTGTATCCATTTGTGTGTTATTTTATATTAGGTGTATTGGTTAAATAACACATTGAAAAGGTATACATTTAATATATATTAAACATAAAGGTAAATGTGGTTGTGCCAAGATTTGTGCCTCATAAGGGAAAAGTAGGTGCACATTCAATTCCAGGTAAATAATATAAATACACGTTACAATGTTAAGAACAACAATACAGTATCCCTCCTTATATGTGCAGCTATAAATGGAAATCATTACAACAATTTGCATCCTGAAGCTCATAACAGTGATAAGTGACTTGGCTAGCAGAGCAGAATGCTGGTAATGACAGGATGCACAGTAAATGGTGTTCTGGTTTTAAGATATGGCATCAAATAGTAATTTGGAGGAAATCAAGCACATGGCTTCTTGACAAATTTAGCAACCTCATTATGATTAGCAGAGAGAGGATTGATCACTATAACCCCCACACACACACACACACACACACCCACACCCACACCCACCCGAAAAGAAAACAAAAAATCAAAATAGCAATAGAAATTAAAACACTCAACTGCTTCTGCTGCTCTAGCTCTCAAGATTATTATTATTATTGCCATTTATATATCGCCAACAGATTCCGTAGCACTTTACAATATTATAAGAGGGGGGATTTAGCTATAAATAGGACAATTACAAGAAAACTTACAGGAACAATAGGTTCAAACGAGCTTACAGTCTATAGGGATGTAAATATATGTATGTATATATATATATATTTATATATATATATATATATATATATATATAAAGACTTTAATGTTATACTGGAAATTTTAGAGGTAATTGGCTGATTAGAACATGTCATCAAAACAGTGAGTCACCAACTTTGAATGTAAAACATAAAAACAGTTGGAAAGAATGTAAAATACAGGAAAGAATTAAGGGGGGAGAAAACTCCTCAAAGCCACAGGTTCATTACTGTGATTGAGTTAGCATGCATAAACTTAGCTTGATGGGCTCCATGAGACCTACTGTTATACTACACAGTCCACACCCACCAGTAAGAGTGGCGTAGACCACATGATCAAGCTAGTAATCCTTATCTTTACAGTAAGAACCCATCTGGCAGCCAGGGTTTACAAGATGGGTTACAGACCACACTGGGTGACAACAAGGCTAACACTACCTTATGGCAGCACAGGCAGCTGTCTTGGGGCTCCCCAATTAGGGAGCAAAATAAAATCACGCCTTGGCTCGCCCACTATAAGTGGGCCCAGAGACCTTTTGATCTAAACCTTTGTCAGGTGGATACCTTACATATCCCTTTTGAAAGCTCTGGCATGATCACTAATAGTATTGGAGTGTTGCCATGGAATCCTATGGAAACACTGACCCAGAGAGCTGGAACTCAGAACAAGAATATAGAAATATATAAAAAAAAATACCAAAATATTTTTTCAAACTAATAAATCATTTGAAAAGCTTATAAAAAAATATATTAAATCAAGACGATGGTCAGGTATGGGAGGCAGTCTATTGAGGGGATGACACCATGAGTCACCACACTGGGTGACACCACCCCTAGTACTGTTGCTGTTTATATATTACTTTATTTTCTTAAGTAATGAAATTGTGTATCGGTTTGGAAAGAAAGTACATCCATGAAGGCAGATTTTCAGATTCACATAAAATTTCTCCTGACACGTTTTTTCAATTGGACCCCAAATCAGTTTTCTCAAAACTCATTACTAGTGGATTTTTCATACTACCCAGGATACCATAAGGGTAGTGTAACGGAGCTTCCTGTACCCCGCTTGGGTACCTCCGCCGACGGATGCTCCTAGCGCTCCCTGAGGACTCCAAGCACTCCACCAGACACCATCAGCACCGCAGTCCCCACGTCCAGCATTACAGCTTGACTGGGACTTGCCGTCTTCCACCCACCCTGGACCCAAGACCAGGATCCAGCTTCCAGTGGGGGAACCTCTCCTCCAAGAAAGAGTAACAGGAACAGATCTTAAAAGAGCTTAGTGATTATATTCCCTGGGGTTATATAGCAATCCCCAGGGTAGATGCAGCCTCCTTCACAGCTTCTGGGAGGTTAAAAGGCTGCACACTCCACTTGTGGGTGGTCTGGCTGTTCGTCAGTTTGTTTGATAAATGAACACCATAAGCCTAATCCATTCGACAAGCCCCATATACTGCACCATAGCAGGGAAAAAGGCACGAACCGTGTTTTTAGCCCAAAGTTCACCACAGCACCATAGTGACAGGGCAGGAGTCTGGCAAACAAGCCCCTCCAAAAAAAGTGGCACGGTCAGTTTCACCACAGGTAGGTGTTACAAACCATCTCATAACATTTTGTTTTACAGTTCCTGAAGAACCATACCGATTGATACTTTATGGCCCCCAATGTTCCCATTCATCTCTATCTAGAGAGGTCCCTATATTTTCTCTCTCAGCCACTTCATCTTTCTTAATTCCCACATTTGGCATGTGCAGTCACACATTCACAACAACAATTTGTATAAGGAGGTAAACACTATATATAATCAAATTAAATCAACAGGGTGCAAACCTAGGCAGACACTTACCTAAGTGTCAAATACAATAAAATACAAACAAACCAGGATAGACACCAAATCTGGTTTCAGATGTGTAACTAGAAACCACCGGGCAAAAACTACCGTGGGCACCCCCAGCCCCCTCCCCCCCCATGTGTCTCATCCCCCCGACCCCTCCATGTGTCTCATCCCCCTTACCCCTCCACGTGTCTCATCCCCCCTATCCCTCCATGTGTCTCATCCCCCCTATCCCTCCATGTGTCTCATCCTCCCTACCCCTGCATGTGTCTCATCCTCTCTACCCCTCCATTTGTCTCATCACCTCTACCTCTATATTTACCTGCTGGTAGAATAGTAAATGGGATTACTAACAAGAGGTTCTAAGCTCATGTTGGGTAGCTTAAAATGGTCTGCTCTTTTTTCTTTTCTTTAAATATTTAGGCCTATTTTTGAACAATTTCAGGTCCATGTTCTTTTATTATTATTTGAACAAATACCCAGAGTATTTTTGCTTTCATTTACAATAACATTTATACATTAATAAATGTAGCACTTACATTCTTTGATAAACAAGTAAGTGAGCGTGAGCATGACTGTATGGCCACTGTACAAGAAGTCTCCGCACAAGATGTGAGATCCTGTGATGGTAAGGCCACCGCCAGTTATTAACCTGAGTACCCTCTGTGCTTTAGCATATGAATCGCCATTTAGCTGCAACAAAAAGAAGATTACTAAACAAACAGTGAACAGAATGACATTTAAAAAAAATGGTAATACATTACATATCCATGAAAATAAGATGTGATAATGTTTACATCCAAATTGATGGAATAATACTCATTCTACCAACTTGCAGCCTGGAGGCTGTGTGGCCACCACAGACCTCTTGTAACAACCTGACACTAATATTGACACTGTTCTCACCACAATAGATCATACATTGTGTTATATGAGTCCCCATGAGACATTTAACAGTAATTCAACTTTGAGAGTTGCAATCTCTGATTACTATGAAGACTTGCTGGCTCTGGTCAGCTGACAGTACATTTATTTGTGCCATGTAATGCACACCTATGGTTTGTAATACGGAACAGAACAGAAAATACCTAGTTCTTGGACTGCTGAGAGTAATTAAAGACGGATGAAAAAACTGTTGTTTAAAAGGACACTTCAAGCACACTCCGGGCACCAATACAAATTAATATGCTGTGTTTTTTGTAAAGTGCCTGCTGTGGTGGCTTGGGCCACCCAGGGCCGGATTAACATAGGGGTTGATGGAGCTGCAGCTCCAGGCCCAGGCCCAGGCCCAGGCCCAGGCCCATTGATTTAAAAAAAATAAAAAAAAAATTTCACACACTACTCTTAGGTTTGCCCCCTGGCTGGTATGTATTTGAGGCTGCCTGGTCGGTACCGTTATTCAAGTATTACCGTCAATATAAATGCCGGTGTTTTTCTCAGTATAAACAGATATTACTCTGCAATACTAGCACCGGCCAGTAGAGATCCCTATGTGTGTGGAGAGAAGCAGGGATAGGAAGTTACAGCATATACCTGCATCTCTCTACTCACTGATCTGCAGGGGAGCAACTACACAGCACAGAGAGTCAAGACAGCAGCTCACAGCCTGCAGAGACAGCCTACAGCTCAGGGAAATGAAGGATGGGGGAAAGGTTGCAGGGAGACATGGGGACACTGAGACATGGGAACAGACACACATGGGGACACAGACACTAGGGGATTCTGGGAGACATGGGTACACTGAGACACTTGGGGACACTGTGACACTAGGGACATAATGTCCACAAGTGTCTCAGTGTTCCCATGTCTCCCAGTGTCCAAAGTGTCTGTGTGCCCATGTCTCCCAGTGCCCCTAGTGTCTCAGTGTCCCTATGTGTCCCAGTGTCCCCATGTCTCCCAGTGTCTGTGTTCCCATGTTCCTACCAGTGTCCCTAGTGTATCAGTCTCCCCATGTGTCTCCCAGTATCCCCTTGTCTCTGTGCCCCCTAGTGACATGGGACCCAGACACTGGGATACATAGGGACATTGATACATAGTCTCAGTGTCCCCAAGTCTCCCAGTGTCCCCAAATGTCTCAGTGTCCCCTAGTGACATAGGGACACTGGGAGACATGGGGACACAGACACTAGGGAACACTTGGTGACATGGGGACACTGGGAGACAGGGAGACACTGGGAGCAATCCATCTATGAAGCATAATCATACTGTAAGTAGTTTTTTTGGTGATTTTACAGAATTTTCTCTTATGTCACTCCTTGTGATTTACATCATGTGATGTAATGCATACATAATTAGTTCTGCAAATTAATAAGGCCTGTATTTTTTCCAAGTAAGGTGGCAACCCTAACTACTCTTCACATACTCATGCTTAGTATGGAAACTTAAGAGGGATATATGAAAACAAAACTTGTGTGGACGAGCTGAAATTAAATTACTTAAGGTAATGCTGACTTTGGTCTCTAACACTGTGGCATGTTCCCTTTCCTCTACACTCGCTACATCCACCTCTTCTTTGTCTCCCACTGTATACCAGGAGCTTCTACCTGATAGTAAGAAGGTAAGGAGACAAGTGGACATGTGAGTGATAGTGGACAGTCCTTAGAAAGCATGGAGCGAGCGCATCATTAGACGCATTTATGTCAAACTCAGGTTTCTGTTGGCCAGCATGCATGATTGGCAGGCAGCCTGACATGCATTCATGCCAGGGTAGCCTTCCAATTCTTTGGGCAGACATGCCTCCTTTTTGGGCATGTTCGTCCCTTTCTGAAGATCTGGTTACGTGCTGCGCATCAGTGGTCCACCCTTTTACACCGCCCACTGACTTCCTGCTTCACTGGACACTGCTGTTAGGGAGCATGGATTTACTTGAAAGGTGAAAGCATGAATTAGAGAGAGATAAGCATATTTTAAGAGAATCTGAGTTTTCTTATAGCTGCATCCTATGTGTTTCCCTCCGGCAACATCTCCACCAGATACACAATGCTTGAGAGGTATGACTGTTGTAGTGTTTTTAGTCGATAAGATTCTGTACTTAGGCCCCTAATAATTGTCAGCACAAGGCCCACTGGGCTCTTAATCTGGCCCTGGGGCCACCTATGCATATACATATACATATATATATATATATATATATATATATATATATATACACACACACACACACCGATATATACATATATATATACACACACACACACACACACACACACAGTTCTGGGCCCCCGCTACCTTATCCTGTAGACAGGGTGCACAGAAGTCTGATGTTCCTCTTCTACAGCTTCATATCTGCTCCCATGCCCTGCAATTTGGCTCAGAGCGCTCTGATTGGTTGGTTTAAGCCAACCAATGAGAGTGCTCTGACAGGTAAATGAAGCGACTGACCGGTAAGTCTCTACATTTACCGGTCACATCACTTTGATGAGTACTCTATGTCATTTTTCACAGCATGGGAAAGTTTTTTTTTAATTTTCCCACGCTGTATAAAATTACTCAGTGTCCCTCCCGTTTATTTGCACAGCCCCCACTCGCGGAGCACAGTGGGGGTTGGGGGGGGACTACTTGTTGGAAGGAGGGGGACGTTCTTATTTTACAACAGTGAGCAGCCACAGACATGACCCTACTCGCAGCATAGGAGTAGGGGCATTCGGGAGATTTCATTTATGCTAATATGGGGGTCAATAATCTCCCTTGTGCTAATATGGGGGTCATATTGACCCCCATAAAGTGAGGGAGGACATTGGGGAGGCGGCTTAGGAAGTGGCAGGGAGCACTTCTCCCTGCTGCTTCTATTGTTACATTTTACAAGGAGATAGCTGCGCACTGGTAGCTCCCTCCTTGTAATAAACTGAACGAACACCGATAGTCAGTGTTTGTTTGTTCGTCTGAAATTTCTATTCATTCATTCGTTTTTCTGATGAATGAATGGACGAAATTCCCGTAACGAAATGCCCAAGTGTTTAACTGGACATTTGCGGGAATTTCACAGCGCTATCTAGTGTGGGCAAATGATGTGTCCAACAGGGACTTCATCTACCCACACAAAGATGGTGGCGCCCAGGACCTAAGAAAATAAAGATTAAAAATAGGTTATATGGTTGGTTTAGGGTTAAGGAATATTCTCAAAGACGAAGATAAATCCAGGTAAACATCAACATGCTCACAGGTACCCAAGCTTCATGAATACTGGAGAATTGTTCTTCAGCAACTTACCTATTATGAACATGCTTTGGACCACCTTTGATACTATAAGTAGACTATAAGATAAGGCTCCTGTGAGGGAGCCCTATCCTATAGGTGTGCTGCCTTTATTTAAGTTTTTAAGCGCTGATCCTTCTGTACACTTTTCACCTTTGATACTATGAATGCTTCTCACATGCAAGTCTGGTAACACATGTTTCATATAGAACAGAGTAATTTCAGGATAAGGACACTTACCTTTGGTGCACATTCAAAATGCAGTCCAGGCACGGGTAAAGTTGTGACATACATTGTAATACATCTGTACAAATACAAAGTTCCAACAATAAAAAAAAATCTGCGACCCACTATTGACCTGAAAAAAGAAGAGAGAAGTAGAACATGTAAGGATAAATTGACATTTATGACTCATTCCTATGTTCATCTGCTATAAAACAAATATATATAACAAACGCATTGAGACGTTGGCGGTGTAAAAATAAATAAAATAAAAACAAACAAAGGGAATGATACAAAGAGCCTTCTTATAGTCATAATACATTAACAAATTATATGGAAGCAGAATTAGTTTAGACATAGAAATGTCTAGAGCACTGAATACAAAGCTGTATTTCTAAGACTAAAGTGTCCCTCTGGCTTCCCCACACTTTCCTATGGGGATTTTGAAGACACTACATCCTCATGAAAAGTGTGAGAGGTTGTTTCACAGAGTTATACTAGGGTCCCTTAATATATGTACTATTATCTATTGGTTTTAGATCTGGCATATATATGCACACTCACAAAAATGGGTGATTTGGGTAAACACGTATTATTATTAACACTTATAAAGTGCTGCAGAATAAGTTGTCGTTATACAAATGCCAATAAATAATAAATGCGTGCTTTTCCAAACCACCACTGTTTGTAAGTGTGGTTGTGTTTGCTACATGCACAGATTTCACAAAATCTTCACTATATTGTAATTTTGTCTATTTTAGTTTGTTTATTAAGCACAGCAAAAGAGTACAAAGAGGAAGCTGCTGTTTAGAGCATTTTTATTTATTTTTAAGTAACACTATCATTTTATGAATACAAAACATGTATTCCTAACACTATAGTGTTGGACTACACTCAGAATGGAGCAAAAAGCTATTTTACCTACCTCTTCTCCATCACTGCTGGTCTTGCTGGGGCTGGTCCCGCCTCCATGGCTGAGATCATCAATCTTGACAATCTCAAACAACTCAATGCTTTTCCACATGAAAGCATGAATGGCAAAAACAGGAAACACCTCTAGTCGTTGTCTGAGTGACTGCCACAAGAGATGTAACTAGCAAACAATGTAAACACAGACTTTTTTTTCTGAAAAGACAGGGTTTACAATGTTAAGACTGCAGGAACATGCCATAGACACCAAATCCATTACTGTAGTGGTTCTGGTGACTATAGTGTCCCTTTAACATTAAAATATCTTATGCTGAACCACCTTTTTATTTTCATTTACTCCATATATGGATATCATGATATCACTAAAATTATTATGGAAATCAGTAAAATCAGAGAAACAAGCTATTTTGTGACCCTGTAAATGAATGCATTAGAATGTGTTGGCTTGGATACACTCTGAGCCACTGGCGTACATATAGGGGTCGCAGCTGCAGACCCCGGGTACCAGCCGCCATGTTTTCCGGGGCTGCTGTTCAAGGGGTCCATCAGGTGGCCCATGCTGTTAGGGCCACACGATGGAGATGGATTTTCAGGGGGCCCAGCCAGCACTGGGCACTTTAACAGCGCGACCGGGCCCCCTGTGATGACATCACTGCTGGGAGGAAGTGACTGCCTGTCACTCCTCCAAGCAATCACACAGAGCCCGCACGGGAACTCTGACTCCCACCAGGCTAAGCTACTACTGGACCACAGGGAATGTCACCCTCCTGCACCTAAAAGGTAGGAAACAGGAGGGTGACAAATATTTTGTATATTGTTTGTTTGTTTGTATGTATGTGTGTATCTGTATGTATGTGTCTGTGTGTATGAGTCTGTCTTTTTGTATGTATGTATGTGTGTCTGTCTGTGTCTGTATGTGTCTTTGTATGTGTGTGTATGTGTGTCTGAGTGTGTCTGTCTGTACGCCTGTCTTTGTGTGTGGGTGTCTGTATGTCTGTCTTTGTGTGTGTGTGTGACTGTATGTATGTGTCTTTGTATGTATATGTGTCTAGTGTGTGTGTCTGTCTGTGTGTCTGTCTGTGACTGTATATATCTGTCTGTCTGTGTCTACGTGTGTGTGTCTATGTATGTCTGTGCGTGTGTGTCTGTCGGGAGGGAAGGGGGAAGCGAAGGGGGACGGGAAGGAGGAAGGGGGCCCGTGGATCAGTTTCGCAGCTGAGCCCCATGGATTGTGTGTACGCCACTGCTCAGAGCTGGGGAGATCTTACATACAGTTTGCACATGCCATAGAAATATATTTACATTCAAAGGAAGACATATGGATTTTTAAAGATTGCGTAAGATTTAAATGAACACAATAGGCACCTAAATTACTTTAGCTAAATAAAGCCGTTTTAGTGTATAGATCATTCCCCTGCTCAATTCACTGTCATTTAGAAGTTAAATCACGTTGTTTCTGTTTATGCAGCGCTAGCCACACCTCCACTGGCTATGATTGACAGAGCCTGCATGAAAAAAAAACTGGTTTCACTTTCAAACAGATCTTATTTACCTTAAATAATTGTATCTCAATCTCTAACTTGAACTTTAATCACATACAGGAGGCTCTTGCAGGGTCTAGCAAGCTATTAACATAGCAGGGGATAAGAAAATCTTAATTAAACAGAACTTGCAATAAAGAAAGCCTAAATAGGGCTCTCTTTACAGGAAGTGTTTATGGAAGGCTGTGCAAGTCACATGCAGGGAGGTGTGACTAGGGTTCATAAACAAAGGGATTTAACTCCTAAATGGCAGAGGATTGAGCAGTGAGGCTGCAGGGGCATGTTCTATACACCAAAACTGCTTCATTAAGCTAAAGTTGTTCAGGTGACTATAGTGTCCCTTTAAAGAACGGTGTGCAGTGAAACACAGATAGGGGCCCTATCAGCTTGCGGGCCCCTATTTAAATAAGGCATAAATTGTTTTACAGAAGTAGCTGGAACTGGAGCAACTGAACTTATTACTGTCATTTAAAAAGCTTCAACATATTACATTATGTAAGTTCAGTTGCTCTAGTTCCCACTGTCTCTGTAATATATGCCTCATTTAACTTGGGGATTTATCCATTATCTGTCCCTATACATTATTTCCTTGGGGAGGGGTGCCCTCCCCAGTTCCTATGCTGATGGAATTATGTATACACTATAATGTGTGCAATGAACATAGGAAAGTAAGATGCCAGGGAAATAGACATAAGCCTGTCAATTACAGCACATAAATGTAATTTGTAAACTGTAAAACGTAAAAAAAAGAAAAAAACTCCACAAAAATTACTTAGAGAAAGGTAAGTAGTGGTAATGTGTGTCCTGGCTCCCTCCTAGAGTAAGCAGTCAAACAGTTTAAGAATAGTATGTCAACTTACCATGATCCCTTGTCCACTGCTACCTCCTTCTGTTTCTTGAAAGGCATGCCACTGAGCTTAGCCTAGCTGTGAAGAACCTCGCTCACTGGCTAAGAGTACTCAACTAATGCTCTTAGTCAATGAGACGGACTTGTGTGGCAGGGTTTCGCTCAGTGGCATTAATAAAGGTTCTTGCAGGTGTTTCCTGCACCATATCAGGCCGCAACAAGAGCCCGGTGGGACTCTGATAAGTTGTTCTTAAACAGTTTGACTATTTACTCTTGGAGGGCACCACGGCACTCCTTGCATCATAACCTCTACAGTAGGCTGTGGTGGTTATGATGCTTGTAGTATTTATTTAAAGGTCAACATCAGTAAAGAGATTGTGTTAATATTCTAAGTATAAGTTTGTCAAACACTCTTTGGTCTTTGTGCAAATTACGATGCTGCTAATCGCTCTATCAGTGGGAAATATGGTGTTCCTGACCATGTTCACCTCTAATACAATACTTTAGATGAAGGTTCCTATTCTGGTAGGGCTTTAACCCCTTAAGGACACATTACATGTGTGACATGTCATGATTCCCTTTTATTCCAGTAGTTTGGTCCTTAAGGGGTTAATGGGAGAACATAAAGTCTTTATATCAAATGAACTTGGATGATACCATATTTTTGGTAACTTTGTTCCCTTGTCATAAGCTCAGAAATGGATCCTCATTGCAGTGTGCTCCTTCTGTTCTCCCTAGGAGAATACGGCAAATGTACAGTTTACCGAGCAAGTTCCGAATTTCATGGACTGTCCAAGTGGGATTCCTTGACTTTGAGAAGCTGCTAATGTGATAAGCAAAAAAGTTGCCATGGCTCATGGTTGATAAGGAATTTCTTCCTGAAATTGGGCACTACCTCTAGGCCAAACTACATACATTGAGTTAATATTTCTGAGGCATAAATTTACTCTAATATCAACAGTGCAAGATAAAACACAATAAGGCTGGCACGCTAATCTGAATCCATTGTGCACTATGGATGTTCTATAATTTGTATCACATGTCTTAATGCCACCAACAGATACAGGCATGTTCATAGGTGGTAGATGGTTCTTTAATTTGATGCTAATATTTGACACAAATTCATTAAGCAATAGGAAAGTGAATGACCTGTACTCCAAAACAAAACTACAGCATTAGCACTTGTGAACAGAATATTCTTAACGCTCAATATGAAATCATACCAGTCAAACAAATGCCCTTTACAGACATCAAGCACACTTGGAAAAAAAAGACCACTGAAATCACCCAGACCAGTTTATCTCAATTAAGTGGTCTGGGTGCAGTGGTCTTGTAAAAATTTTGTATTATTCTTTATTTATGGTATATCTTCATAATTTAAATGTCATTGTTGCAGAAGTATACATTCAGAAACAATAACAAATACAAAAGTAAGAAGACATGGTATCACATTGAGATTGGTGATACAAAGCATTTTGTAAGAGTAGTCAGCTAAAAGGGAGTACATAGCCGATGTCATCTGGTAGTTTGTAGAAATCATGACTTATGGTTAAACAGAAAACAAGATAACAAAAACAGGGTGATGTTTGTCAAAGATGTTGATACTGAGCTCATAAGAAATACCTAGGCAGTAGCCAATGCTTGAGATTTAACCAGAGTATTCCCATAAGGAGAAACGGCAGAAATGAAGGTGAAGATCTAAGTGCACTGGCAGGGTTACACTTAATGAATATGGAAATGCAGTTTATGACCGTGCTCATATACTTGAGCCGACTGGGACCAAGCACCGTTGAGGGAGAAGGGTCATAACGCATAGTCTAAGGTGCATGGCTGCCAATTCCAAAAGGTGAACCGGATACTGGCATAATAGAGGTCAGTTAGCGAGTGGTGTGTGGAGAAAGTATTTGCATGTATGGGAGGGAAGGAGAGAAGGAAGGAGGGAAGGAAGGATGGAGGGAAGGAAGCCTAGATATAACTTGTGAAAGGGGCACTGGTGTCTTAGCAATACAGGTTTGTATTTCCACCAGTATAATGTTCCTTTAAGTCAAATTCTATATCTCCACTGGTAGGTGCGTATTTTTTATCTGACACGCTCAAAGTGTATAGAAGTAAAATCGATAACTGTAAATGGAACATGTCATTCTGATCCATTCCACAAGCCTCTTTTCATGTTCAGGTAAAAATATTGCTGCTTCTAAGTGTATTTTGCACAGCTGCACAAAACCCAGGTAGTTTTAATTTTATTTCTTCCTCTTGATCAAGGCTTTTTTTTTGGTCATATCTACAGTTTGTTAAAGCTTCATTTCATCTGCTTACGGGTAGAGAGACACAGGGGCAAACACAATATAATAAACACATTGCAAGGCACTTACTTGTATCGGAGGAAGAGCCACTGGGTAAACCAAATTCCAACCAGAATCATTCCATTTATTTCTGATATAGAAAATGCCCACGTCACTCTATCAATATAGTCAAAAAACTTGTCTGGAAGGGGAGGGTTCACCTCCTTTGAAGGTACTCGCTCATGTACCACTGTGATCATGACAGTGGTAAGGACCAGGTTAAAGAGTGCATAAACAAAGGCAATCCCGGTTTTCCACCATTCCAAGGGATATTTGGTTTTTGTGTCAGCTGGCATAGAAATCTGAATATAGTCCGGATATTTCTTTGTGCCTTTCCGTAAGCCATTGGCCATACTTTTGGACTTGCTTTTAACGTTTTTGTCATCTTCACTATTGGATGAGACTGACCTTGGGAAACCATTTGGTGTTTGGTTTTCCTGAGATACTGTATGTTCTTCAATATTTGTGGTCTCAATAACATCCATTTGTGCCTCAGTCCTGGCTATAATTTTATCAAAATATAAAAGTAAGTATTTTTATGTAGACAATTATCTGTTCAAAAGAATAATTGTTTCAAGCCAATAGTCCAAGGTCAGAAGCTAGCCACAGCGTAGCACAGGGTCACTTTTTCTTTGCTTGTTGCATAACCATCTGTAATAAAAATAAATACAAATATGTTAAAGTATTATTAGCACAATTGTCACACACATATATATTAACATCATACAAAAATGTACATATCTCACTCAATGATTCAAGAGATCATTGATTAAGTGTATATTAGCCGCTCAATAAATCACTTAATAATAGAGAATACATGACTATTGAATTGCAGGCCTGGTTGGATAGCCCTGCTTTACAACTTACAACTGTGGTAAATATTAGCTCACACCAGGGAGACCCCTGCATCTGTGAATACCTGGGGATTTCCTTTTGCCAGCTGCTGCCATATTTAGTGGTCCCAAACTGACAGATAACCTGTATCCAGCACTCGAAGTGAACGCTGCAAACTGCACTCTAAATTAATTTAAAGTCACCATGGCTAAATGAACTAGTTATGAAGTGATTATCAATATTCCCTCAAACACAGAGGGAGACTCCCCAGGGTCCCTGCATGCCCCATGCTGCCAGTGATCAGCGTTAATGCTGTGCATGTTTCCCAGAATTAATAACATAGTGATTGGCAAAGCCAGCAAGCAGAAGCTGCAGCATGTGCTCACATGCTGCAATCAAACAGTAAGCTCTGTACTATGTGAGGTGTGAAATCCTTCTACTGATCTCGGTACTGACATCAGCAGAGGGCATCCCTCTGAGTCATGATTAGCGTAACAGTTAATATAGTATAAGGTTTAAAGCTGGGTTAGGAGTAGCGTATGGTTAAAGGGTTGCCCCAACCACCATGACCACTTCTGTTTTTAGAAGTGGTCACTGTGGTAGGAATCTATATATGCAGTGTTTCTGCTCGAAATGCTGCACATCCAGAAGTATTTGCACTTTGGTGATGGGGACTAGTTGCACCCCAGACACACGTGGCTTAGGTAGCCTGGACCTCTGAAATTCTGTACAAATATTACATTCGTCATCAGCGCATCGGCAACAGACATAATGCTAATAATGTATCTCCCTCCCTCTTTTCATGCAAATTTTACCTCACTCCTTGGATCCACCCCCTTACCAGCTCAAAGAGTACATGAACTCTGAGCCAGTGAAATGGTCCAATCAAATGCTTTTCCATGAGTTTACGGAGGTTAAACTTGCTGCTGCTGGAGGTGTAACTTCACCTATTGCAATTGCAGCATCATTGAGGTGTCATCAGCCAATCCAGAACTGGAGTTTCACAAATTTCATTGCACAGAGTGTCAGTCATTGGCTGAGAGCAGTCAGCTGGCACTCTCAGCCAATGAATGGAGATGGTCGCAGCTGCCACAACTCTGCAGAAGTTGGAAGTGTGCCACTGGACCTCTAGGTTGGATAAAAGTCTGGCAGGGGATAAGAGAAACTGTTTATCACTGGTTTACCCCACTTGGCTTGGGTTCTTATAACCACTACAGAGGTCTGTAAGGGTTATGATACATGGATTCACCCTTTAATTTTCTGCTGCGGTTTTTCTTATACTAAACTGGCCATGAACAAGACTTCTATCCCAACTACTCTGCTTTAATCATAGGCCTGCTGAAAAGATTTTAAATTCTTGTCCTTAAAATCACTTGTGTTGACATATACATTATTACTATTAGCACAAAAGGTATCTGTGTATGCTCTGCGCAGACAATGCTTTGTTGTGTTCATTGATAATCTTACAGGTGCAGGCCCAGTGCTAACAGACAAGAACATTACTCAACAAGCTCTGCAATCCATATGCAGGTGTACAATTAACTTCATATTTATTCAGTTATATAGCTTCATATTATTCTTCCTGCATGCTATTTAATCCTGAATTCTTCTACCAATACCAGCGGGTTAGATAGTACAGTATGATAGTTTACTTGAGGTTGAGCCAAGCAATGGTATGACTAAGTTTGCATTGCGATGTGTACTCTTAGCAGTACAAGTTTAGCTATGAAGCCACAAACATTCAGCATACACCTTTTTACTTTTCTGCATACATGCCAGACCTACCCTTACTAACTGCTGGAATTGGGTATTTCAGGCACGCCCAAGGTGGGTAAAAATAAGAACACGTACAGGTAATATCTGTAGAAAGCATTGTATGACAATGTTAGGCTTGAAGAATGGTGGCAATCCATCAAACTAGTCCAAGGTGGAAATGTTTTAAGTGTAACCTCTTTATTGCTTGAGAGACTGTATGACTCTTATATTTTGTGTGTAGACATTTTATTTTCTTCCAAACCACTTGAAAATGGCTTGACAGAAATCTGGGGTAAAGCACTAAAATATTTTTTGCACCATAACCACTACAGTGAGTTGTAGTAGTTATAGTACCCTTTGTCATATACCCATCTCTACTTAACTATTACCCCTGTCTAATATTGGAGGTCTCTCATCAAAGACACAAAAGACAAAACTTTGTCAATTATTATCTTGAGTATAACAAGAAATCATAGCCCCAGCTATATTAACTGTACAAGAAACATTTTGATTGTGAACTTTAGTTATAGTAAAAATGTTACCTTGTAATACGATCAGTTGTGCTTTCGATCTTTTTATTTTTATATAAAATAAAAAGAAAAGCATTCAGACCAATTTCCACCAACAGTAAAGGAACACTTCAAGAAACAATCACTACAGCGTGTTTTAATGATATTGGTGCCAGGAGTGCCCTAGAGCTTGCCTAATGCAAGTAGTCAAACCGTCTATCACCTGATGCTCTGCAGGGCTTAACTCAGAGGTGCTGAGTGTTCCTTTAATTCACAATATTTGCTAGTCAGATGTTGATGAGCAAGGAATAAATGATCAGTGATAAGTCAAATGCTAAGAAACCAAATAAAACCAAATAAAACAAAAAACACCCGTCTTCACATATAACAGAACACAAAACAATAAATTATATTTGGCATATAAGACATCAGAAGGGCATTTTGTATTCCCTCCTTCACAAGAATGTGTAGCAAATTGTTTTTCTGGCTCCACACTTCCCACCAGGGTTTTAAACACAACAGCAAACCATGTTAATGGAACATTATCCTAATGTACAGTTCAGAAATGAAACCACTTATTTTCTATTTTCCCAGCAATTAATCCGTACACTGGGTGCCTGACTCTTATCATCTACTGTTTTATGTTCTAAATCATCTAATTCTCTCATACTACCAGGCCAAAAGGGAAAATTTAACTCACTTGTGTAAAAAAATAAATACAAATAATAATGGTCTAAAAATAGAAGACTCCATCAAAATACAACATATTTGGTTGACTGAATATTTGAATTTGGACAAGTACTGGATTTCCTCTAGTCCCTTATCAGCTACAGTCATCTTAATACCCTTCCAGCATTTTCAGATCATCTTTTCTCTTTCAACATTTTATTTTATTTCACACTTGCACTTTTTCTTCCTGTTTTTCATTTATGATTGCCATTTTCCCCATTTGTGTTGATGCTTCCTTCTGCCCCTCTGTGTTTTTATTAGTACCCACTGCAATGGTTTTCTTGTATACTATGGTGGAGGTGTTTTCTGTCTCACTATTACCATTCTTAAGGGGATTCACAGATACACACTCACAGACACAGACACTTATTGAGACAGTTTTTATATTGTAACCTACTATGGCATACCTCCCAATATTGGGAGGTATCAGATTGAGACGGGTGAGCGGGTTCTGAGAGGAGCGATTGTTGGGACTGTTTAATGAAAATCAGGGCCGGTGCAAGGATTTCTACCACCCTAGGCAAAGATCCATTTTGCCGCCCCTTCATGTCACTCACTCACAGAAACTCACACACACACACACACACACACACAGACACTGACAAACATACACACACACTCACTGACAGACATACACTCACTGATACACACACACACAGAAACTCAATGACATTCACTCACTGACAGACATACACTCACTCACTGACAGACATACACACACACACTCACTGACAGACATACACTCACTGACACACGCACACAGAAACTCACTGACATTCACTCACTGACAGACAGACATACACTCACTCACTCACACATACACTCACTGACAGACACACACACACTGACACACAGATACTCACTGACAGATATGCACACACCACAAACTCACTGACACACACACAGACACTCACTGACAGACATACACTCACTGCCACACACACAGAAACTCACTGACAGACATTCACTCTCTGACACACAAACACATTTACACAGACTCTCACTGACAGACATACACTCACTGACACACACTCACACAGACACTCACTGACAGACATTCACTCTCTGACACACACACACATTTACACAGACTCTCACTGACAGACATACACTCACTGACACACACTCACACACACAGACACTCACTGACAGACATTCACTCACTGACACACACACTCACTGACAGACACACACTCACTCACTGACAAACACTCAAACACTCACCTCCGGGGGTCCAGTGTGGGGCAACTCCTCATTCCTCCCGCCCGCTGTTTAGTATCCTGGGGCCGGAATGACATCATATTCCAGCTCCTGGCATCACAAAGGGCGCGCGAGGGAGGAGTGCGAGGCTGCAAGAAGAGCCTCCCTCGCCGCCTGCCTGCTCCGTCCCCTTCTCCTCCAGTCACCGGCATTTGATGGCAGAGCAGGCACCTGTCATCAAGGTAAGAAGGTGCCTGCTCTGCCATACTGTGACAGGGCTCCTCTGGGCGCCCCCAACTTCGGGCGCCTGGAGGAGCAGCCCGGTGCTGAGGGGGGCGGCTCTAGAGCTGCTCGCTAAGCGCTGTGACCCAAGACAGGGGGAGCCCACCAGGAAATATCCTGGTGGGCGCCCCCAGCAGGCCGGCACTCTAGGCGAATGCCTAGTTCGACTAATGACAGGCCGGCACTCTAGGCGAATGCCTAGTTCGACCTGCTGAAAATCCAACCCAGTCAAAAGAAATCATAAGCCAAAATAGGGACTACTTTGTCTTTTGTATTTGTCCTACACTCAGATGTCACTAGTGATTGCATTGTGAGAGTACAGCACGAACGTTGGCTCCTGGCAGATGAAGCACCAGGAGCTTAGGAGGATCCTGCAGAAAAAGACTAAGGCAACCATAATGGACAGATTCAAGTGAGAAAAACTCACTATTAACTGCATCCCATGGCCACCTCAATGCAAACAGCATGGTCACCAGAAGGGGATAGAACTGCTTTGAAAAAAACATTATAGTTTTAGGAATACAGATTTATTTTCCTAACAGTACACTATAGTGTTCCTATCTCAAGTCCCCCCCCATGAAATAAAATAAATAAAAAAATTAAATACAAAATCAGATTTACTCACTTATTTAAAAACAAACAGTATGCACAAAAACAGAGAATACAGCACCCAAGATATGCAGATGATGTGGTGCTTAGAGTGTTACTTTAAACATTACAGGAAAAAGCACCAATTACAGTAGCACCCTTATTAGGAAGGTCTAATGATTAATATGTGTTAGAAAAAACACAATATGTCTATAAGGATCAGTTCGGTAGTTTTCGCTCATCTCTTGAATCGAATAACTGTCATTTTCTGGTATAGACCTTGAGACATGCTTAGTCTGCTCTAAAAGGATTTCTAATATCACCCATTGGCTTTGCTTAGGTCTGTCAGATCCTGGATATTTAACGAGAGGTCTAGATAGTCCTGTTTTCATTTGCTGTCAATGGGCAAACGAACTGGATAGATTGAATGGAGTTGAATTTCTTTCATTTGGGTGTTTTTACCCGAATATAAGGAATGTGTAGGTTTAAGGTTTTGAACAAGATATGGCATCTCACTGGATGAATATTTGAGTACATTGGTATATGTGGGCAGAGCACATCAAATCAGGGGCTTGGTGAAATTCCAGGGGTAGTCTTATTACCGCATCAACTTTAAGATTTACTAGGTGCCACTGACTTCAAGGTTTTTTTGTATTTTTTTACATTTTACATATCATTTGCCAACTTGCCTCAAGGTAATCACACTAATAGTCATTCAGGATTATTAACTAAAGTGAGGACTGCCAGTAATGTAATGTTTAGGCCAAAAAAGCTTCATTAGAAAAAATGTCCAAGTCAATTTTGTTTTCATTATGGCTACATCGCCTTAAAGGGATTCTCTGATCACCAAAACAACTTTAGCTTAATGAAGCAGTTATAGTGTACAGATTGGGATAGAAAACCTTCAGCACCCCAGATGTTGAGAACTACATCTCCCCTAATGCTTTGCCAGTATCATGGCTGTAAGAGCATTATGAAAGAGGTAGTCCACAGCACCTAGAATGCCAAAGGTTGCCTACACCTGGCATATATCATTCCCCTGCAGCTTCACAGCTCAATTCTACGCCATTTAAGAGTTAAATAATTTTTCTTTCTGTTTATGCAGCCCTAGCCACAACACAGCCCTGCATGACATTCACACAGCACTACATTGTGTTTACTTTTGAAGTCTGTATTTCCTGTTCTGTTAAAAGGACTAGATCTGGAATACTCGCTGACTTGAAGCCTGAAAAGATGCCGGGACACGCGACCCAACCTGGGAGCACCCTGGCGAATCGCCCGATACCAGTCACAAGAGTCTTCCACAGGCATAAACCTGAAGCGGTTCACGGTGGCGGCGGACGCTCTCCTCGCCTCCACACCCGGGGCGCTGAGCAACTGATCGCCCACCCCCCCTTAGGACGAGCGGGGGTGATCCCGTTCCAACCCTGTCAGGCAGCATGGCAACAGCAGACGCAGATGAAGCGACTCCTAGCCACACAGGCCCACACAATGGCGGACGCCACGTGCGACCACAATGGCGGCAAAGAGGGGACTGATATCCAGACACGGCTGGATGCCATCTTCGATGCTCATTGGGTGAAAATAGCATATAGAGAGCAGCAGGGCAACACACCAGCGAACATACCAAGAGAGAGAATCCACACGTATTAGCCACAGCCACGCTGTCCCCCGTCTGAGGGTAATCACAAGATGGCGCCGCCACTGCCGAAGGAGACCTCTCCCTCCTGCTCGCAAGCGGCAGAACCAAGCAGAGATGACAGCCTGCAGGGACATACAGGTATCATCCCAACCTCTCATGAATCCGGGCCCAGCTACACAACCTCCGAGAGGCAGACTCACAACACGACACCGGAACCTGTCAAGGTCACGGGGAGACCCACAGCTCAAGACGAAGACACCTGCAATGTAACCACAGGTACCCACAGCAATAGGCGAACGGGCCTGACACCGGAATTAATACAACAGGACTTTGCCCTACCCCAGCAGGACCCACATGCAAATGGCCGACCATCACTATGGCAGGCAGGCCTGCACAACGCCACATGGGGGACAACAACATACCAGCAGCTGGTGTGGGCTAAGTGACTCTCGAGACTTCTCAATTGTCTGCCCTATTCATGCCGATCTACTCACTGTTAGTTAGCCTAGCACAGTTGATTTTACCAGTGCCTTATTGTTTACCTTAGTGCCAACATGATCCACTTTGTCTTACCAATCAATATGTCTACTATCTACTAAGCCTGAATACCACCGTTTAATCATAGAATAGGAAGTAGCTCAGAACTGTTGCCTGATTAGCCATATTCCTCTCCAAGCTGCACTGCGTAATCTAACATGTTCTGACTAATTAGACCTGCTGTTCCTATACAAACGCATGTCCCTTACTTAATCATAACTATATCAATGTCCTAGATACTAAAGTGATGACACTCAACATAAATATTAATCTTAAGGTACTGTTACTAATCGACAAAGTAATCCACTATGGCAGACGCATTTACCCAGCATGTACATATCTTGTATTATTAACCTAAAATATATTGTGCGTTGAATCTGAATGATGTACAACAGTCAATGAATATGTGTTTTCAAATTGTTTGCGAATGCTGTTGTCGCATTACTGATATGCGAAAGTTGTTTCATGCAAAGCAAAAATAAAGAATAAAAAAAAAAAAAAATGAAGGTCTAGATCTGGTACCATAACACCTTCATCAAAATTAAGTTGTTATAGTGCCAGGAGGTCACTGGTGCTGGTTCACGTTAAGGGGGTTAAACTATTCTCGATCAGTTTAACCCCAAAGTCTGTGTTCCAGTGCTGATCTTTCTGCACCTCTGTACTTCCTTTTGCTGAAAAGTTGAAGAACAGAAGCAAACGGCTGCTGTGTTCAAGGGTGTCATTCACAATTTAGAAAAAACACCTTGAGAACATTACGTACATTTCTTAAGCCATTTTTATGAATGGGGAGCCACTGATTGGTTGAGATCGTCTTAAACACAATGTGCAAGGAAGGAAGTTTAGACAGTAGATCTCTCTTTACAGGAAATGTTTAGTAAGACTGCTTAGAATGATCACATGCAGGGGTGGTTAGCTCTGCATAATCAAAGTGATTTAACTCATTAATTACAAAAAAAATGAGCAATGATACTGCAGGGACATGATCTAAACACCACTCCATTAAGCTAAAATAGGAAATATACTTTGAAATCTGGGCAATCATCATTTGAGTATGTAACCCTCTTTTTTACCTAGTAACTGATGCCTGTTTTAGAACTTGTACATTAATTTAATTTACTGATGTCAAATTCTCTTTTATTTTTTTATTCAGAGGTGTCAAACCACAGTCCAGACATGTATAGAGTTTCCAGGCTAAAAAAAAATCAGCATATTACCCAGTACATCAAGCAATTGGTAAAACATAGTATTAATTGCAGAACTCCTACATATCTGTTACCACAAAAGCACTTTATAATATTACTGCTCAAGATCACTTGAAACCTCCTAAACTTGCAGCACTCAGTACATCAACAATGTATGGTGGGGATATATGTAGAAAAATTAAACATAAGTGCAGCTGGGTCATGTAAATTTTATGCAAAGTGCACTTTAATACCAATACTGACACCAAGCCTAATTACACAAATCTGATCTGTTTTTCCATAATAGACTTAATAAACTTTCTACACTTGCAGTAACCATAACAACCAAGATCAACAACCAAGTCCCTACTGACTCAGGTCTATCTCAAAGGATTGAAACAGCCTTCATCTGACCACTGATTCCTTCCTCATCAAAAGGCATCTCTCAGAGTTGGTGTTAGAACAAACCTCTGTTTTTGAAAAAAAATCAAACTAGTAATGCTGAAATCCTACAGAAAAAAAAAGAAAAAACATTGTATTAAAGATAGCAGATTAATCAGATTAACAGAGTGATATTTTGTAGCATTGTGAACATGTATCCAGCATGTTCAAAATGCTACAAAATATTACTCTCTATTATTATTATTGCCATTTATATAGCGCCAACAGATTCCGTAGCACTTTACAAAATTATAAGAGGGGGGATTGAGCTATAAATAGGGCAATTACAAGAAAACTTACAGGAATGATAGGTTGAAGAGGACACTGATCAAACGAGCTTACAGTCATGTAGTAATAATCAAGACGCATTGCTGTGGGGAAACTACAAGATACTCCGTATAATAAAGCGAATGGCATAATAAAGTAACGTACAACAGTGATTCAGGGGCACAGAAAGCAATTTGACACCACCTTCTATAGTACAGCCCCCGAAAAAAGAAATTCTTTACAATTACACAGGTTTAAGAGAGGAGAAAAATAGGGTGACAATAAAACAACTAAATTAACAGAAATGCTGTATCCACAGAGTTTTTGCACTATAATCACTATGACTGTCTGTAAACTTTCTGGAAGATGGAGGATTATGAATGTGTTTAGAAAGTATTCAGATTCCTTCTGTTGCAGCCTAGCTACAACTGTTTAAATATTTTCCCCCCCACATCAATGTACACTCAACACCGCATAACGACAAAGGTTGAAACCAGATTTTTGACACCATTGCAAATATATTAAACAGAGAAAAAGGGAATGTCACATGACAAAAGTATTCAGACTCAACCTAGTGTGATGGAATTCCAGTAAAATAAAAGTTTAGCAGGCCAAGATTGCCACAAGGCATATGTAGGTACATGTGTTTGTAGTATCAGTTAGTTAGTTACACGTAGCTAAGATACTGTCATCACTGTACCGAGCATGTGCAGGAATGCAGGAACTGGAATTACGCGTCCCTCTCCTTTGTTTCAGATGAGCCACGTGGTTAGACCGGATGGATGAGTTTAGACTCTATTCATTGATTAGGTTAAGGGTATGTGTGGGCGTAGCTAATTATGGGAGGAGCTACAGTGCTATATAAGGAATGTACTCTATGTATTCAGTGCTCAGATCTTTGCTGTTTTCGGTGACATAAGTCCCTCTGAGTCCCGGTCGGTGAATCGAATAAAGATCTCTTCCTTCCTGAAGAAACCCGTGTCCATCTCTCTGTGCTTGGCCTCCGTCAGTTTCCCGGTAACATCTTTGGTGCATTGGCCGGGAAGCTCGTCGTTAACGGTGGCTAGGAAGCAGAGGCGTGAGAAGGTCTATCTTTGCCCACGTTCTCTACGGCTGCACCCATGAACTTCTGCGTGGACCTCCCTTCGTCTCGGCGCCACTGGTCTGTTGTCCAGGAGATCATCGGCCTCTACGTAGTAAGTACTGGGGTGTCCCCGTCGATTAGTGTGAACTAGGAGGTAAGACGACTACTGTTTTAGACGGTGGACCCACTAGGGGTATTGGATACCGATTGTGCGGTAGGCCCATAAGGGGTTTGAATTGGAATTGTGTATGGAATTGGCCCGCTCCAGGGAGGGAAGGAGCGAAGGCGCACCGCTCATAATTAGACGCCCTGTAGTCAGCCCGTCTAATCTTGGTATGGAGTCAGGCTGGGTCTTGGTTGAATGTATATAGCCCAAGCCGGACACCGGTGTCTTGTCTAGACTAGCGTATCTAGGGTGTACATTTCGTTCGCTAGGTCGGAGGGACCGGGAGACTAAGCAGACTCTGGTGTACATTATCGTTTGCTAGTTCTCAACCTATCTTGGCTAAGTGGGAAGGCGTGTAAATTTGGAACCCACTAGACTATTGATAGAGTAGATAGACTAAAAGGGTATTGTTGTAAATTCCGCCCTCTAGTTCGCTATATGTGGTGCTTGGGCAGCGACGGCTAACCAAAACGGATGTAAATAGTTTTAGGTAGTCCCTCGAGGTACTGTCCAATAGATTAGTTGGGAAACTGTAAATGTGTTAAAATGTATTATAGTAGAGTGTACATCTTGCTGGGTAGCGTGAGCTCTGCCGTCTAGCGAGAGTGTGAATAGTGTGTAACTGTATCATAGCGCATGGTACCATAACCATGTATTATAATCACTGATACTGTAAATAATCACTAATAACTGTCGTTTATGTTGTATGTTTAACACCATAACTACTATTAACTGACCTGTGACTTTAAAATTGTATTCTAACCAATGCTAACCGTACTATAACTACTGTTTGTAAAGACGATGTTACTAGGGTGTGTTATAGACGGGTAATTTAAATACTGAGAATTATAGCGTGGGTAATTGTATAATTTCGCCAAAAAAGGTACAGTAATAGTTATTTAGTGTGTGGTGTAACAGCTGTGTGTGTACGGGAATTCCCTGTATGATTTGTTGTGTGCGTTTGGCCTAGTAACTGTGCCACGTGGTGCTGTTGCCAAGGGAAACGGGTGTGACTGTTGGAAGTGTGTTTTGTTTTGTTTCTATTGGAGACGACGCTCCATTGTTAAGTATGGGTGCGTTGGATTCAAAGATCGTTGATCCCTTAGATTGCATGTTAAAGAATTTTAAAAAGGGATATAATGTATGTGATTTTGGGGTAAAGATGTCTCCAACACGTTTGACTACTTTATGTAGCAGGGAATGGCCTGTCTTAGTGGTTGCATGGCCTCCACGTGGTAGTCTTGATCCTAATCTAGTGCAGCGTGTACACGTAGCTGTATCTGGTAGGCCGGAACTTTACGACCAGTTTCCATATATTGATTGTTGGAAACAGGCCGTGGATGACTTGCCAAAATGGATCAGGGTGTGCCAAGAGGAGCAATGCCGCCTCCTGTTGGCCAGAACTCGTTTGTCCACCAAGGCCGTGATCACGCCCATTCTGGACACGCCCCCTGAGTCAGAGATTCCTTTACCGCCCCCTTACTCCTCCTCTACAGGAAGAGGAAGAGGAGGTGCGGCTAGTAATGCCACTCTCCTTGCCCCATTGTCTCCTCCTACCCCATCCTCTAGCTCAGAGCCCAGCCCACCTGTTCTAAACCCTCCCCTTCCGGTACCTACCCCCACTAACTCCACCTATCCGGATTTGACGTCATTTCTGGTTCCTGGTCAGGCTCCTCCCAGCCCGGCCCGGAATATTCTGCTTACCAACCTCCCTTTCAGTAAAGAAAAAGCGTCCCCCTCCCCTCGTCTTATTACCCCTCGACCGGAACCCATAACTGACCTTCCTCAACGAAGCCCCATACTAACCCGACAATTGACCGGTACCCTCCAACCCCGACATTATCAAATGCCTCTCCGATTGACACCGGGCCCGACACACATTAATGGTGAAGGCCAGTTACAACATGCCGACCCCGTATTTGTTTATGTTCCCTTTACCACTACGGATTTATTCAACTGGAAAACCCATAACTCCTCTTACACAGACAAACCTCAAGCCATGACAGATTTGATTACCTCCATAATCCAAATGCACAATCCCACTTGGGCTGATTGCCAGCAATTGCTTATGACATTGTTTAATAACGAGGAAAGGACTCGGATTAATCAGGCGGCAATTAAAGCGCTTGAAGAAGTGGCCCGTGCACAGAATCAGGCCAACCCGGTAGCATGGGCCGCAGCTCATTACCCAAACGTAGATCCGAATTGGAATGTTAATGGTGCTGATATGGCTCACCTAAAAGCTTATAGGGAAGCCATTATTACTGGCATGAAAGCCGGAGGGAAAAAGGCGATCAATATGTCAAAGACGGCTGAGGTATTGCAGAAATGTGATGAGTCGCCCAGTGCCTTTTATGACCGATTATTGGAGGCATACCGATTGTATACCCCCTTTAGTCCAGAGGCTCCTGAGAATTCCCGGATGGTTAACTCTGCCTTTGTCAGCCAGGCTTACGGTGATATTAAAAGAAAATTGCAAAAGCTAGAGGTAGAGTGAGAGGAAGAGGAGGCCCTGGAGGAAATGGTGGGAATAGTAGAGGAAGCGTTCAAGGGGATAGGTATTACCCAGCAGCGCAGAGACCACGAGAAAGAGAAGATAGGGACTTTGTGAGTTTGGCTGACACTGTCATGGAGGACTATTGATACCGACCGGGCTCCATCCCCCTTGGTCGAGCGGAGCCTATGGTCGATGTAGCAATAGGGGGAAAAAGGAGTTCTTTCATGATCGACACTGGTGCTGAACATTCTGTGGTAACCGACCTAGTTGCTTCTCCTTCAGGAAGAACTATCACTGTAATAGGAGCAACTGGGAGGAGTGCTGCTAAACCGGTTCTCAAAAGTCGACTCTGTACACTGGGAGGCCACGTAGTGAAACATCAGTTCCTTTACATGCCTGAATGTCCAGTCCAACTTCTAGGACGGGATTTGTTGTCGAAGTTACAAGCACAGATAACATTTCTGCCTAACGGAACGACATCCTTGAAGTTTAATGGACCCTCAGGTATAATGACACTATCAGTACCAAAGGAAGAAGAGTGGCGACTTTATACAGTGATGACAAGTCAAAACCCTAAGAGTGATGAATCCTTGTATAATATACCAGGAGTGTGGGCAGAAAATAACCCACCAGGACTTGCTCGCAATATCCCACCTATACGCATCGAACTAAAGCTTGGGGTTTATCCAGTAAGCCTGCGACAATACCATATACCTCAAAAGGCGAAGAAGAACATGCAGTCTTATTTGGATAAGTTCATAAGGTATGGTATCCTAAAATTCTGTACTTCCCCCTGGAATACTCCATTGTTGCCTGTTCAGAAGCCTGGGTCAGATGAGTATCGTCCTGTGCAGGATTTGAGAGCAGTCAATGATGCGGTAGTAAGTATACATCCAGTTGTGCCCAATCCTTATAACCTGCTTGCCTTGATTCCGGGTGGGGCTACTTACTTTACAGTCTTGGACCTTAAAGATGCCTTCTTTTGCCTACGAATTGCTACAGAAAGCCAGTGTATCTTTGCATTCCAATGGGAAGATGCTGTAACGGGCTCGAAACGTCAGATGACCTGGACAAGATTGCCCCAAGGGTTTAAAAATTAATCTACCCTATTTGGATCAGCATTAAGTCAGGACTTATTAGATTTCAAGTCCATCCCAGGAGAATGTGTACTACTACAATACGTGGATGATTTGTTGATAGCGGCAGTTACTAAAGAGATTTGCCAGCAAGCAACTTATGATTTACTGCACATTCTTTGGAAGGCAGGATACAAGGTGTCCAGGAAGAAAGCTCAGTTGTGTCAGCCAACTGTCAAGTATCTGGGATTCCATATCTCTGAAGGTCAAAGGATAATGGGGCCTGAAAGAAAAGAGGCTGTATGCCAAATACCAACACCTAAGAATAGAAGACAAGTGCGAGAATTCTTAGGGGCAGCAGGCTTCTGTAGGATATGGATTCCCAGTTATGCGATACTGGCGAAACCCCTCTATGCCGCTATTAAAGGCACGGAACATGATTCCTTCCTGTGGACCATTGAACAGCAGAAGGCATTTGAGGATGTTAAGAAGGCATTGATGAGCGACCCCGCATTAGGTCTACCTGATCATACACGTCCATTCTACTTATATGTACACGAGCAAAGAAGGATGGCTGTGGGAGTACTGACACAGTATCTGGGATCATGGCAACGACCTGTTGCGTATATGTCCAAACAACTGGATGCCAGTGGTCTTCCTCCTTGTCTAAGGGCCTAGCTGCCGCTGCCCTGTTGATAGCAGAAGCTGACAAGCTCACTCTGGGTCAGGAACTCTATGTGCGAGTCCCGCACGCAGTACAGACGTTGCTAGACTATAAAGGTAATCATTGGTTTAGCAATAGCCGCATGACTAAGTATCAAGCCATGTTATGCGAGAACCCAAGAGTGCATCTTGAGACTGTTAATACCTTGAACCCAGCTACCCTCTTGCCGCAACCTACTGAGAGTCGACATGATTGCCAGGAGGTAATGGATGAAGTGTTCTCAAGTAGACCGGACCTTCATGATTTTCCCATCCAGAACCCTGATGTTCAGTATTACACGGACGGCAGTAGTTACGTGAAAGAAGGGATTCGCTATGCCGGATATGCAGTGACAACTATAGACAAGGTGATAGAAGCGCGGCCATTGTCAAAAGGAACATCAGCACAGAAGGCAGAATTAATCGCACTTACACGGGCTCTGCAATTGGCTGAAGGGTTGAAAGTAAATATCTACACAGACTCAAAGTACGCGTTTTTAACCACTCATGCCCATGGAGCTTTGTATAAAGAAAGAGGATTACTGACCTCAGAAGGAAAAGAAATCAAGTACGCAGCTGAGATATTACAACTATTGGAAGCTGTATGGGAGCCGAAGGAAGTTGGTATCATACATTGTCGAGCACATCTGAAAGGTGATGGTGATGTGGTGAAAGGAAATCGGATGGCAGATAGTGCAGCTAAGTGTGCCGCTGAATCCGGACAAAAAGAATATGTGGTGTGTAGCAGCTCTTATACCGACCCCTCTGTCCCAGTGGACTCCAGTTTATACAGCTCAAGAAGTAGAGTGGTTAAAGACTGAAGCTGGGAAATATTTGGAGAATAATTGGTATCAGTTAGAAGATGGAAGAATAGTTATTCCAGCATCGCTAGCTGTAGAAATAGTCCAGAATTATCATAATGGGACACATTCTGGAAGAGATAGTATGGAAGAATCTCTTGGGAAGCATTTCTATATACCAAGATTGTCCAACTTGACTCAAGCCATTGTTCGAAGATGCGTGTCATGTGCCAAGAACAACGCAAGGCAAGGTCCAGTGAAACCACCAGGAGTCCAGTACATGGGAGGGCTTCCTATGTCCGATCTCCAAATAGACTACACGGTAATGCCCAAATCCAGCGGACATCGTTACCTACTAGTAGCTTTGTGTACCTACTCAGGATGGGTAGAGGCGTGTCCAACTCGTACAGAGAAAGCAGGAGAAGTTGTACGATTTCTGTTGCGAGAAATAATACCCCGATATGGACTACCGTGTTCTATAGGATCAGATAATGGTCCAGCTTTTGTCCATCAGTGCCTACAACAACTGACTCATATGCTTGGTATTAAGTGGAAACTTCATACAGCATATAGGCCTCAGAGTTCTGGGAAAGTGGAAAGGATGAACAGAACCATTAAGACCCAGTTGGCAAAAATGTGTCAAGAAACCCAACTCAAGTGGAATGTTCTTTTGCCAATAGCTCTGTTGCGCATTCGTAGTACACCTACCAGAAAGTTAGGTCTATCACCCTTTGAAATTATGTATGGGCGTCCACCTCCCATACTTAGTAACTTAAGGGGGACTTGAGTCAGTTGGGAGAAGGAATTACCCGGCGGCAGGTTGTAGAGTTGGGTAAAACTATGGAGGAGGTACAGAAATGGGTACAAGATAGGTTACCTGTAAATATTTATCCACCTGTCCATTCTTACCATCCAGGAGACCAAGTTTGGATAAAGGAGTGGAACAGTGTACCGTTGGGGCCAAAGTGGAGGGGTCCTTATGCTGTTCTTTTGTCTACTCCAACAGCTATAAAGGTGGCAGAGGTGACTCCGTGGATTCATCACTCCAGGGTTAAACCAGCAGCAGATTCTTGGCAAGCTACTCAAGATCCTGAGAATCCCTGCAAGATCAGGTTGAAGCGAGTGACCCAGTTAGATTAAAAGTGGTTTTTGCGAAGAGTATTGTTACAAGGGAACATCAACAAAGATCTACAAGTAGGTGTTGACGGCCACAATAAAGCCTGACCACCTACCAACGTTTAAGACAGAGGAATCCTCTGTGAAGAACAGTGAGGATCAGAAGGACTCCATTCCCTGCAGCCCTCACACGCCTGGAAGCTGAGGTGCCGTCGCACGGTCGAAGAATTAGGAAGAAGATGTCAGGAGTAATGTGTTTGATGATGTATATATGTGTGTTTTTAATTATTCGGGAAGGTAGAGGTACCGACACACCAGGCTGCGAGGTTTGCATTAAGACTACGAAAACAGGCAATCGTATTTCCCAGACCCTTATTTGGCATTCGCAATATTTGATACAGGACATGTATCAAAGTGTAGATACCTAGGTACAGATTATAGTGTATGCCATATAGGAGCAGGAGAACCTAGGTGTTTTAATCTTGAGTATCAGCCCCGTACAATTTGGTTGACTATTCGGAATGAGAACGCACAGGGGAACCTGATAAATAAGACTGTACTAGAAAGCGTACATTCTCCAGGTGTTTTGCTATTTGATGCATGTAAGGCGATATCACGTAGTAGGAAGCCATGGAATGTATGTGGTGGTCTTAAATGGGAAAGAACGTATGGGTCTAATGATAAGTATATTTGTCCTAGTAATAAGCATAAGTATATAGATCCAAACTGCCTAAATAAAGACTACAATTATTGTCCGTATTGGTCCTGTGTGGGATAGGCAACCTGGGGACAGACAGAAGATAAGGATATGATTATCACTAGATTGCCTACCAAACCATATTGTAAGTCTATGGAGTGTAACCCAGTCCATATACTTATCAAGGACCCAGAGCTATTTATAGAGAAGGTTGGGAATCTATTTGGGTTGAAAATATATGGAACAGGTTTGGATCCTGGGACGATATTATACATAGGAATAGAGACAGATACAGTGACCCCCCAGACTCATCAGGTTTTCCATTCTTTTTATGAGGAGATGAGTGTAGAAGATAAGGTTCCCCATAATGCCAAAAACTTATTCATAGACCTAGCTGAGAGCATTGCTGGTAGTCTTAATGTAACCAACTGCTATGTGTGTGGAGGTACTAATATGGGAGACCAATGGCCTTGGGAAGCAAAGGAGGTAATGTATTCTGGTTCTGAGACAGTTGAACAACTAATATCTTCTCAATCTGATTATCAAGTGAGTGTTAGAGGTAAATCTGAGTGGCGATTAAAGACCTCCATTATAGGTTTTGTTTGTATAGCAAGGAAAGGAATAATGTTTAATACATCTGTAGGAGAATTGACTTGTTTAGGGCAGAAAGCCTATAATGGCGATACAAAGGATACTATTTGGTGGTCAGCTTCAAATGTCTCAGAACCGTCTAATCCGTTGCAAATCATACCAATTTAAAGGATGTATGGTTTGACCTATCTGCTACATCTAGTTGGAAAGCCCCAGCAAATTTGTACTGGATTTGTGGTAAGAAAGCATATTCGGAGTTACCACAGGACTGGGAAGGGGCATGTGTATTGGGTATGCTCAAACCATCCTTCTTCTTGTTGCCAATTGAAACAGGAGAGACTTTGGGAGTTAAAGTATATGATGTAAATCATAGGAAGAAAAGGGCACCCCTAGAGATAGGTACCTGGGAAGATGATGAGTGGCCTCCCCAGCGTATTATAGATTATTATGGGCCAGCTACATGGGCAGAGGATGGTACTTATGGATACAGAACCCCAATATATATGCTTAATCGTATTATAAGATTGCAAGCAGTAGTTGAGATAGTTACCAATGAAACATCACAAGCGCTCAATCTCCTAGCGAAGCATAACACTAGGATGAGGACAGCCATCTACCATAATAGATTATTTTTGGATTACCTATTGGCAGTAGAGGGAGGTGTATGTGGGAAGTTTAATCTAAGCAATTGTTGTCTTCAAATAGATGATGAAGGGCAAGCAATAGCTGAGCTTACTAGCCATATGGTTAAGCTAGCACATGTACCTACTCAGGTATGGAAAAGGTATAATCCGAGTAGTTGGTTTGGTAGTTGGTATGAGCAGTTTGGAGGAATCAAGGCATTGGTAGGTGGAGTCATACTGATTTTGATGTTGTGTCTCCTTCTGCCATGTCTGATTCCTTTGGTAATTAGGTCTATGCAGAGCATTATAGAAAGTATAGCAGAAAGAAAGGCCGCAGCACAGGTAATGGCTGTTTGCAGGTATGAAGCTCTAGATCAAGGAGAATACATGCAGGAAGAGGAATGTTGAGGGGTTCGTATCTTTAGAGGATCGCAAAGTCTAGTCTGGTTTATGGCAACTTGAGGTGTAAGCAAACTATGATTGGTGATGCATCTGGAATTATTTTAAATCAGAAGCATCAAAGGGGGGAATGTGATGGAATTCCAGTAAAATAAAAGTTTAGCAGGCCAAGATTGCCACAAGGCATATGTAGGTACATGTGTTTGTAGTATCAGTTAGTTAGTTACACGTAGCTAAGATACTGTCATCACTGTACTGAGCATGTGCAGGAATGCAGGAACTGGAATTACGCGTCCCTCTCCTTTGTTTCAGATGAGCCACGTGGTTAGACCGGATGGATGAGTTTAGACTCTATTCATTGATTAGGTTAAGGGTATGTGTGGGCGTAGCTAATTATGGGAGGAGCTACAGTGCTATATAAGGAATGTACTCTATGTATTCAGTGCTCAGATCTTTGCTGTTTTCGGTGACATAAGTCACTCTGAGTCCCGGTCGGTGAATCGAATAAAGATCTCTTCCTTCCTGAAGAAACCTGTGTCCATCTCTCTGTGATTGGCCTCCGTCAGTTTCCCGGTAACACTAGTACTTTGGTGAAGCACCTTTGGCAGCAATTACAGCATCAGGTCTTTTTGGGTATTGTAACGGAATCACCCATACTCCGACCGAGTACGTTCCGTTGATGGACGCTTCCTAGTTTGCATCGAGGACCACAAGCACCCCACCGGACACCACAACCACCGCAGACTCCACAACCGCCGTAGCTTAACTGGAGTCTCGCCGTCTTCCTTCCACCCTGGATCAGCCTCTGTCTTCCAGGACCGTGTGGGAAAGACCTCTCCTCCAGTAGAGCGTATCAGGTGATTAAAGCTCAGGAGAGTATACAAGTATAGCAATCCCCAGTGTGAATAGAGCTACAGGGAGTGCAGAATTATTAGGCAAGTTGTATTTTTGAGGATTAATTTTATTATTGAACAACAACCATGTTCTCAATGAACCCAAAAAACTCATTAATATCAAAGCTGAATATTTTTGGAAGTAGTTTTTAGTTTGTTTTTAGTTTAGCTATGTTAGGGGGATATCTGTGTGTGCAGGTGACTATTACTGTGCATAATTATTAGGCAACTTAACAAAAAACAAATATATACCCATTTCAATTATTTATTATTACCAGTGAAACCAATATAACATCTCAACATTCACAAATATACATTTCTGACATTCAAAAACAAAACAAAAACAAATCAGTGACCAATATAGCCACCTTTCTTTGCAAGGACACTCAAAAGCCTGCCATCCATGGATTCTGTCAGTGTTTTGATCTATTCACCATCAACATTGCGTGCAGCAGCAACCACAGCCTCCCAGACACTGTTCAGAGAGGTGTACTGTTTTCCCTCCTTGTAAATCTCACATTTGATGATGGACCACAGGTTCTCAATGGGGTTCAGATCAGGTGAACAAGGAGGCCATGTCATTAGATTTTCTTCTTTTATACCCTTTCTTGCCAGCCACGCTGTGGAGTACTTGGACGCGTGTGATGGAGCATTGTCCTGCATGAAAATCATGTTTTTCTTGAAGGATGCAGACTTCTTCCTGTACCACTGCTTGAAGAAGGTGTCTTCCAGGAACTGGCAGTAGGACTGGGAGTTGAGCTTGACTCCATCCTCAACCCGAAAAGGCCCCACAAGCTCATCTTTGATGATACCAGCCCAAACCAGTACTCCACCTCCACCTTGCTGGCGTCTGAGTCGGACTGGAGCTCTCTGCCCTTTACCAATCCAGCCACGGGCCCATCCATCTGGCCCATCAAGACTCACTCTCATTTCATCAGTCCATAAAACCTTAGAAAAATCAGTCTTGAGATATTTCTTGGCCCAGTCTTGACGTTTCAGCTTGTGTGTCTTGTTCAGTGGTGGTCGTCTTTCAGCCTTTCTTACCTTGGCCATGTCTCTGAGTATTGCACACCTTGTGCTTTTGGGCACTCCAGTGATGTTGCAGCTCTGAAATATGGCCAAACTGGTGGCAAGTGGCATCGTGGCAGCTGCACGCTTGACTTTTCTCAGTTCATGGGCAGTTATTTTGCGCCTTGGTTTTTCCACACGCTTCTTGCGACCCTGTTGACTATTTTGAATGAAACGCTTGATTGTTCGATGATCACGCTTCAGAAGCTTTGCAATTTTAAGAGTGCTGCATCCCTCTGCAAGATATCTCACTATTTTTGACTTTTCTGAGCCTGTCAAGTCCTTCTTTTGACCCATTTTGCCAAAGGAAAGGAAGTTGCCTAATAATTATGCACACCTGATATAGGGTGTTGATGTCATTAGACCACACCCCTTCTCATTACAGAGATGCACATCACCTAATATGCTTAATTGGTAGTAGGCTTTCGAGCCTATACAGCTTGGAGTAAGACAACATGCATAAAGAGGATGATGTGGTCAAAATACTCATTTGCCTAATAATTCTGCACTCCCTGTATCCCTTTAAAACTATACATCCAATCTCCATAAATCACATATTCTTACTCAGCATACTTCAAATATAAACATATCCAAAATTCAGGCAATTCCCTCCAGGGATTAAAAAGTTAGTCGGAAGTCCTTTGGGACCGACCGCAAGCACATTTTCCTGCCCAAAACAGTTCCATAGATTTGGGCTGTGTGGTCGGTCAATTTCAATCAGAAAAATGACTACGTTCTATTTGCATGAAGGAACGGGGCACCGTTCGTGCAAATAGCTTAGTCTCACTGTCTGTTCAAATCGCCGAACGGGACTTAGACGCTGCGGCTGAAAACTGAATGGAGGAGAAGGTAAGGGTCAGCGGTGTTCGTGCAAATGTGTAGCCGATTTCAGTTTCATGGATTTGGCTGCACACACCGCTGAACGCGTTTGACTAACAAAGATGGCCGCCGCCACGTGTTTGTTTGTAAGAACAGCGGCCATCCAGCGGTCAGCAATTTACCTACAGCAGCCTCCCAGCCTGGGAGGTAAATAAGCTGCACGCTTCCACCACAGGTGTGGTCCACCTGTGTAATAAATGGTTCGGTAAGCCCCAATTACCGAACCATATGGGAAAAAGCAATGTATAAGTTATTTTGAAGGGCTGGGGACTCTGGGGACACCGTCTTAAAGGGGTATTGTTCAAATAAGTCTCATGAGCCCAAATACAGTTCTTAAAGGGCCATACACAGTCCTGATATGCAAAAGTTGTTTGATGCACAGCCCAAATGCTGGTTTTAAATGGTAAAATCTCCCAGGGGCCATAGTCACAGGGCAGGAGACTGGCAAGCAGGCCTCTCCAGGACCAACTGGCGAAGGGCACTTCGTCACAGGTATGATGTGACAAGCTTTGCATGGTTTCTGCCATTCATCTCTGCAGATCCTCTCAAGCCATGTCAGGTTGGATGAGGTCCGTTGGTGGAGAGCAATTTTCAGGTCTCTCTAGACGTGTTTGATTGGGACATTCACAGTTATCCCTATACTACTATTGAAGCCCAGGGCACAGCTAAGTGGAGTGGGCCTTGACTTAGCTAGGAGGCAGGCATAAGGAAAAGGGGGAGTGGATTATAGGATTAGGGAAGGGGTGACCTATTGCCACACAAATAGTGGTAAATCAGTATATAACGGGGGCGGAAGGCGTACATCTCATACTCGCTCTAGGAGCGGCCGTAGGAGCAGACATGGCATCAATAGCAGTGCCTCACCTAACTCTATTCACGACAGAAGGCACTATGGCTCACCAGTTAAGGAAGCAAGTCCAGGGCGCAGCGCTGCCAGGTCCATAAATGAGGCTCCCCAGGCAGGAAGGACACAGAAGAAGCCTGGTACAGAGGTATGGACCAGGACGTCAGGTCAAGTAGCATTCACGTGTGTTCAAGGACTCAGAGAGAGGCGAGGAGGGTGCAGGATATTGGGGACGCATGTTTTGGGATGCTGGAGCTTGTTTGGATACGGCTTCGCCAGGAAGTACACGCGGGGGAAGTCAGGGACCAGCCCCAGGATCAGACGTAACACAGGGTTCGGCTGGTGAGTCACCTCATGCACCACACACGGGGTAATTCATTGAGTGTCTACAGTCTTTTATTTACACATGGAGTGCGGGTCCTGGGGACAAAGGCTCTTTTGGACAGGTATGAGCTCAAGGATAGCTGGGGGGATGAAAAAGCAGAGCATCCTGGAGGGGCGAGTTAATGAGCTAGATGAGGCTGGAGCGGTTATTGCGGGTAGCGATTGGGTCGAATCTTCAGGAACATTTGTGTTAACTATAGCTGCAGCCGAGAGGGCATTGTTAGTAGCGGACATTCCTGAGGCTGCTCGCCAAAACTTGCATGTCTCTTTTGCGGGTCCTTTGGGCTGCCATCTAAAGCCCAAAGTCAAGGAAAACATTTGGAAAGGTGAGTTTGTAGAATTTTTTTCCCTTCTCCCCCTAGAGGAATATTTAGACTTGAAAGAAGAGGACAAGAAGGACTCCAAGAAGGAGGAGGAAGAAAAAAGACATAAGTATGGAAAGATTTCTAAAACCTTCGGAAATTGGCTTAGGGCTTTCAGTATTCAGCTAGCATGTTAGGTGAGAAATCACTGTATAATTGCTCCAAATTGTTCTGTTATCAGGATGGTGTCTGGGAGGCTTATCGCACATATGGAGGGCTTGCATGGTGGAGATACGACATGCAGTTCCATCAGCGTCTGACGGTCAATCCAGGTATGGGTTGGGATCAAATGGACCAGACACTCTGGATGAAATTAATGATGGTGCAAAAAGCAACACCCTTTCAATCTGGAGCTGTCGCCAGTTCCTCTTCCACCTCATCGACTATGAATAGGAGGGGATATTGCTGGCTCTTCAATGAAGTGGGGTGCAGCATGCCGATTTAAGAATGAATGTTTAGGGTGTGGCGGTGGACACGGTTTCAATCAGGGGAAAATGCGCCTGCCGGAGTCAATGAGGTGCCACATCATCCTCTGCCACTGGGGTTATCGCCGGTGAGGGTCTCCGCGATGCTCCCATGGTTAAACAAGTACAGTAACCGTGATGATGCGGTACTTCTTTGGGACGGTTTCACTGGGGGGCTTTGTGATTCCATTTCAGAATAGGGTGGCGGTTCGTCGTTTACATAATCTACTTTCGCTTAGTGACTTTCCTGAAGTCGTACGCGACAAATTGCTTAAAGAAATACAGTTGGGACGGGTGGCGGGACCTTTTGTAGAAGCGCCGATCCAGGATTTACGCATTTGGCCATTGGGTGTCATGCCCAAGAAGGAAGCAGGTAGGTTCAATTTGATTCACCACCTTTCTTACCCTAAAGGGTCATCAGTGACTGATGATATCGATGGGGCGCTCTGTTCCATTTCCTATGCATCATTCAACCAAGCTGTTGAACTGGTGAAGAAGGCGGGTCCAGGTGCGCTGTTGGCAAAAGCAGGTGTGGAGTCGGCATTTCGCCTGCTGCCCATTTATCCCGCCTGTCATCATTTTTTCTTCAAGGGAAAATACCACATTGATCTCTGTCTGCCCATGGGTTGCTCCATCTCACGTGCATACTTTGAAAATGTTAGCACCTTTCTAGATTGGATTGTTAAGTTTGAGGCGGATACTAAGTTTGTGGCCCATTACTTTGACAACTTCTTATGCATCAGCTCCTCCAATTCTGATGCTTGCAGGATCGGTCTAAGAACACTGGAATGGGTGGCTAAGGTTTGCAGGGTGCCACTGGCAGGGTTCAAAACCGTGGGGCCGTCAACATGTTTGAGTTTTTTGGGGCTCAAAATCGATGCCGTGGCAGGCGAATGCAGCTTGCCACAAGACAAATTTGTTGTTCTTAGGGAACACGTTACAGAGGTGTGGGAATCTAAGAAAGTGACATTACACACACTGCAGTTGTTAATTGGGTGATTCCGGTGGGGAGGGTGTTCAATAGATTCTTGGCTAAAGGCACATGTGGGGTACAGTCGCCACACCATTTCATCAGAGTGTCAAGACCCATAAAGGAGGACTTGGGAATTTGAGAACGTTTCTTGCATGAGTTCAATGGCCGGGTTTTCTTTTGGCAGAAAACAGTCTCGTTGCTTGACTGAATTGTTCATGGACGCTCCAGGTAGTGTTGGTTTTGGCGCCTTCTTCGCCGGTCAATGGTGCGCTAAGCAATGGCCTGCATCTTGGGCTGCCAGCACGCTCATTCGGAACTTGATGTTTTTAGAACTGTTTCCATTACTGGTGGCCTTGTCGCTATGGGATCCTGTATTGCAGGACAGGAAAGTAGTCTTCTTCACTGATAACATGTCGGTGGTGGATGCAGTAAACAATTTGTCGGCCTCTTCAGTACCAGTGGTGCGGCTGCTACTTCAATTTGTCCTACATGTATGCAATTTAATATTGTTTTTTGTGCATGTCATGTGCCGGGTTTCTTGAATGTAATCGCTGATGCACTTTCTCGTTTCAAGTGGGCGAGATTCCGAGCAGAGGCTCTGGAAGCACAGGCGGAAGGTTTGTCTTGCCTGGCCAAGCTCTGGCAGCTCTGGACTTCATGCTTGGAAGACTAATCAGACAGTCATTGGCTCCTAGCACGTGGGCAGCATACAGTAAGGTATGGGACTCATGGGATGCAGCGTGGGTCTGTATTGAGGATAATCACTCGGCGGAGGTACGTCTAGATGTTTTGTTATGGTTTATGTGTCGGTTGTTCGCGTCGGGTGCCTCCCCGTCGGTGGTTGGCGATAATCTAGCCACGTTGGCGTTTCTCTTCAAATTAAACGGTTGCGAGGACTTGACAAAGCACTTCTGGTCCGACAGGCTCTTAAAGGTTTCCGTAAAGGAAAGAAAGCTCCTGACACCAGGAAACCGGTCTTCTTTGACCTGCTCCTCTGGCTGGTTGGGGCATTGCAAGATCTTTGTTTTTCCACAATATGAAGTGCTGTTGTTTACGGTGGTATTTGTTTGGGCATTCTTTGGAGCTTTTCGTATTAGCGAATTGGTGAGTAGTTGCCGGGTGTAGGCAGGGGCCATTCTAGTTTCGGATGTGGAAGTTAGAGAAGATAAGGTTGGTATTTATCTGCGTCATTCTAAAACTGATGTGATCGGTAAGGGCTGCTTGGTCAAATTGGCTTGGTTACCCGGCTCGTGGGCATATCCAGTGGGTTGAGCTTCACAGTATCTGTCCATTCGTTCAAGGGCGAGGGGTTCTTTTTTCATCCACAAAGATGGATCATTTCTGTCCAAATATCAGTTTACCTGTGTTTTTCACTTGTGCTTGGGGTGACTGGGTCTGGATGCGTCACATTTTGGTACGCATTCATTTCGGATTGGGGTAACAACGGAAGTGGCACGGTTGGGTTTCACTGATTAGCTGGTTAAAAACATTGGTCGATGGGAATTTCTGAGGTTTAGGTCTTATGTCAAATCTGATTGGTTTAAGCCTGGGGGTGGAATGTGAAAGTGCTATGTGTGGTTCCATGTTTTTCTCTTCTATTTTAGGTCGGGTTGCCAGGATAGTAGGCCATTCCTTTGTATACTGGGCGGAACTAAGAGCCGCGATTTGAACTGGGCTTTCCTCATGATTCACTTACATTACATTGGTTTGGTTTGGTTTTCGTGGTTTTTGTTGGAGTAACATATGCTATGAATTATTTAGAAAAATAGGGCAGGGCATAGACCCGAATTGTATTTTAATCCATGCCGGGAGTAATGATTTGGTCCTTGTACCACAAAGGGAATTGATTCGGTCCATGAAGAGAGACATGGATAGGGTGAGAAGTTTGGTTCCCGGTGTATTTATTATTTGGTCGGAGATGGTGCCGCCTATGCATTGTCGTTTTGTTAGGATCCCTGTGGCGATAGCTTCAAGTCACATTAAGGTCAATCAGTCGATGGCGGTTTACATGAAGAGTTTAGGGGGGGTTGTAATTAGGCACAAAGAATTGGAAGCTATACTTCCTGGCTATTTGTGTGATGGAGTACATCTTTCTGATGTTGGTATGGACTTCTTGAACTTGGGTTTTCACGATGGATTGAGACAGGCTCTTGATAGGTTATACGCTACATGTGGTTAAGGATGCCCTTGGTGGCTGTGGAAAAGATGCCCTTGGTGGCTGTGGTAACAGTTTGTGCATTATGATAAATGCTGTTTTAAGTTTGCCGTTTTATGTAGAGGTCATGGTCTGTAAATGTTTACATAGGAAAATTGTTGGGCTTCAATGTCTTTAAGTGTGTTTGGCTCTGACCCCTTATTTACAATTTTATGTTTAAACAATTATCATTATTAAAAAGCTGTGATATATTCCCAAGAAATATCTGTGACCGTGATTCATTGGGGGGTGGTTTTATTAGGAATATGCCTAAGGGACGACTATGCGCATGTCATGCATTGTCTGGGCAGTGTTCTTAGGATCACTGTTGAAAGGTGAATCTTCAGTCCAGTCTGAGGTCCTAAGCGGTCTGGAACAGGTTTTCTTTCATTAAGGGGCCACTTAAAGGGCTACATTAGTTCTGGGCTGTCTAAGTCATGTGTGCTGGGAATGCAACTAGCCTCCAACACACATTTAACAATAACACAGTATGTGCAGTGTTTTAAGCCGAAAGACTGCTTATACATACTCTGAACACCATGACCACTTTAAATCAGTGGAAATAATTTCATTTAAACACTTGTAGCATAAGGATGAAACATTAAAAAAAAAAAAAGTGAAAAAAATTCAGGGGTCTGAATACTTACACTGAATGCACTGTATGTATAGTAAAGATGGAGGAGCACACTATATACCATACTTTTTGGAATACAGAACACAGAAGTTCCCCCCTGCTCCCAGCCACTCCATGTAGTGTGGTCTCACAGCCTGCAGTAGAGGTGGGACCAGCAGGCAATTTTCGGTTACACTGCGTACAGTATAAATGAGATCCATTCAAGTGGTGGTTTTAGTTGGTTTTTTTTTCAAAATTTCTACTTAAAATATATTGGTGCATATATATATATATATATATAAAAATTTGGATTTTACGAAATATAACATTTATTTTTACCAGGAAGATTAGAATGATATTTCTCTAATTTTCAAGTATGTTCTTGTACCTTGTACTAAGGTTTCAGGGAACCCACTTAGTACTTATTCTGACGTGTGCATACGGAAGTCCCAGAATAGTTATTTTAAGCCTTTGTTAGCAAGAGCTTTAAGTATGCTAAATATGCAACAACTCACAAATGCATTCAAAATCCCAGAGGTATGTTTGCTTCAAAAGACAGCTAATGGCATAAAATGTATAGTGCCGTTAAAGAGGTTTCACATGCCAAGAGTTGATTGACTTTTATCTTTAACTGATGTTGTAACTGTACCAATAAGCACAGATAAAAGCTACTCGGTAAAATATTTTGACAACTGCCGATCACTTTGGCTTATCCAACAGTGCAATAAATAAATTAATTTAAAAAAAAATAATTAATATATAAATATATAATTATAATCACAGTTGAAGGTATCCAACAGACAGCAGCACACATGAAGAGCTGGTCAGCCCCAGGACCTGACATGATCCACAACTACTGGATAAAGAAGTTAACAGCATTGCATGAACGCCTAGCAACACAAATGAACCAGCTACTAGCAACATGCTCCCACCATGACTGGCTAACACTGGCTAACACACGGCAGAACAATACTGGTCATGAAGGAACCTCACAAGGGAACAGCACCATCCAACTACTGACCAATAACCTGCCTCCCCACAACATGGAAACTCCTGTCAGGCATCATAGCCTCCAAGATCCAGTTGCATATGAGTCAATATATGAGCAATACTCAGCAGGGGATTGGAAACAACACCAGAGGATCAAAACACCAACTACTGGTAGACCAAGCAGTCTAAGACCAGAAAGACTACCTGGATTGACTACAAGAAAGCCTATGACACAATGCCACACACATGGATACTGGAATACTTGGCTCTCTACAAGGTCAGCAAGACAATAAGAGCCTTCATCAAGAACTCGATAGGCAAGTGGAAAACAACTCTAGAAGCCAATTCCAGGACAATAACTCAAATGAACATTAAATGGGACATATACCAAGGTGATGCACTATCCCCAATAATGTTCTGCATAGGCCTCAACCACCTTAGCCAGATCATCAAGAAGAGTGGATACGGATACAGGTTCAAGAGTGGAGCTACCATCAGCCACCTACTCTACATGGACGACATCAAGCTGTATGCCAAGAATGAGCGAGACATTGACTCACTCATCCACCTAACTAGAATATACAGCAATGACATCGGAATGTCTTTTGGGCAAGAGACGTGCAGGCGGATGATAGCAAAAAGAGGGAAGATGATCAGGACAGAAGGAGTTAAAGGTCCAGAGGGCCAAATAGAAGATGTAGAGAACAGCTACAAGTACCTGGAGGTACCACAAATGCATGGCAATGATGAGGAAGAGGCAAGGAGGACAGCAACATCCAAGTACCTCCAAAGAGTCAGATAGATCCTGTAGTCCCAGCTCAATGGCAAGAACAAGATCCAAGCCATCAACACATATGCCCTATCGGTTATCACGTACCCAGCTGGATTAATAAACTGGCCAAGAAAAGAACTGGTCACCATGGATGTCAAGACCAGAAAACTACTCATTATGAATGGAGGATTACACCCGAAATCCAGCACCCAGAGACTGTACACCTGCTGGAAGGAAGGAGGTCGGGCCTGATGAGTGCCAAGGCCACAATCCTGGATGAAACACAAAGCATCCACAAGTATATCGTGAAAATGGCTCCCAAAGATGAACTGCTAGGGGAATGCCTGAGACTTCCACAGATCAAGGATGTACAAAAAGAGGAGGTTCTTTAGCAAGACAAATCTCTCCATGGGGTGTACCACCGGCAGATAGTGGATGTTGCTCACATGACAAAATCCTACCAGTGGTTGGATAATGCAGGACTGAAAGTCAGCACTGAGGCACTAATCCTAGAAGCACAGGAGCAGGCACTCAGCACCAGATCAATAGAAGCTGGAGTCTACCACACAAGGCAAGACCCAAGGTGCAGACTGTGCAAAGAGGCATCTGAGGCAGTCCAGCACCTAGTAGCCGGATGCAAGATGTTAGCAGGAACAGCATACCTGGAGAGACACAACCAAGTTGCTGGGATTGTGTACCGAAACATCTGCACAGAATATGGATTGGACCTTCCTAAGTCCAGATGGAAGATACCACAAAGGGTAGTTGAGAATGACAGGGCTAAGATCCTGTGGGACTTCAAGATCCAGACAGACAAGCAAGTGCTGGGCAACCAACCTGACATTGTGGTGGTAGACAAGGAACGGAAGACTGCAGTCGTGGTGGATGTGGCAATACCCAGTGACTATAACATCATGAAGAAGGAACATGAGAAGGTGGACAAATACCAAGGACTGAAAGAAGAACTAGAAAGGATGTGGAAAGTGAAGGCAGTAGTAGTCCCAGTTGTCCCAAGTTGGGGGAGTGGCTTCAACAGATTCCAGGTGGGACATCTGAGATCGCTGTCCAGAAGAGTGCAGTTCTAGGAACAGCTAAGATACTGCGCAGAACCCTCAAACTCCCAGGCCTCTGGTAGAGGACCTGAGAATAATGAATATACATACCACCCAGGAGGGGTGTAAAAAAATAACATTTTCTTTTTACACACACACACACACACACACACACACACACACACACACTAATAAATATATATATATATATATATATATATATATATATATATATATATATACCAGGGGGCTGCACTCACCTGAACATGCAACATGCATAAATGGGGTGCTGCTGGGGGCCAATTTATACAATACACAAAATCCAGAGCACTCACTTATCCACTACACAGCAATTTCAATGCTTATGCATTGGCAGGCTTATGCAATATATGATGATATAATGCAACTAAACCCCCATTATTTTTGTCTAGATTAGGTGTTAAAAAAAAAATAAAAAAATAAAGAAATTTGTCAGCATTTTAGTTGCTGTTTAGTGGATAAGTAAGTGCGCTGGAACTTTTGTAATATATATATGAAATTGATTCACTTTTGCAACATTATATGAAACCTTTGATGGACTGGATTCTTCATAACGGAAAAGGTAAACAGAATAATTATTTTCAAAGAAACAAAAATGTGTTGTGTTATGTTACCCACAGACATTTTCCTGTGATACAACTTTTCTATTGTTTTTAACAGTTTGGAACCCAGGAGCTACCGGAAGCTGAACATTGATGGTTTTACTTCAACTTTAAGGCACACCCTTGGTTGTAGACATAACGACACCTGTACAGAGCAGGTGAAAATCAAGTGTTTCTCTGGAGAATCAGTTACAAGATGCCATTTCTGCAATATTAATTAATACTTAGGAGCAGGCAGAGTTGTTCCTCCTTTTAAACTTACAACAAGATATACTATTCCTATTCTTACTGCATCCTATACCTCCTGTATATTCTTTATCATTCAAAGTAACATAAAATATCATGAAAGACTATCAGCCTATATAAAAACATTGGGTGAAAAAAATAAAAAATACAAATACAGAAAGAACGACTTTTTTTATACACTGCTACAACTTAAATAAAACAACAAAATAATTTAGCACTCTGTGTGTGCCCCCCTATTTGCGAGTGTCATAATCAGTCAATGTGATCCAAACTTTTAATTCACATTTGAACCAATCCTGGGCCTGCTTTAAACATGTGTGTCTTAAGTGTTCTGGCAATGATGCATCATCAGTGAAAAAATGTGTACAAGCTGGGCCAATATCTACAGAGAGGGTGCAGCAGCGTAACACCCACGGACCTCGGAAAATAGCGGTACTTGAGGAAGGAGCAGCACAAAGTAACACTAACACCTAACAAAACTAATAAGATTATCAATTAATTATATATTTACTTCCTTTTTATAGCTAATGGTGAACTAGATTGACAGGTTCACTTTAAGGCTGCTCACACTCTTCACTTAGTGTTGCAAGCTAGCAGCAGATGCAGGTCTGCGTGTACTTTTTGGCACACAACATGTCTCCGCTCCTTTCAACGCGTGTATTTGAAAGTGTTTTTAGTGATAGATTCTGTTTAACAAGATGCAGTCTTACAAACATTTGGTTAACTGTTTTAAATATTTAAACAATTTAAACAGCAAGGTCAAAAAAGAAAGCTACAGCGACTTCTTACTTGTCATAATCAAAATCAATATTTATAGCATTCAAAATAGTTTAAGTGCACAAGACCAATTGATTGAAAGATTTCCAGTTAAAATAAGGCCACTCTTCATCCAAATGCATCTTGGCATCTCAAAGAATCAAGAATTTTTAAAAAAAAAATTTTGTGATCGCAGAACGGTACTTAAAAGTGCTTTCTCTGCAGACGGCTGTCACAGTGCTCTTCATATAAAAATATACCCATCTCTCTTACATAAAATGCATATCTGTAATGTGTGTATTTTAAATTTCATTTAACACAAGTTACTACCAAACCCCAATTTGTACAGTGTGTAAGGATATCCTTTAAATTGCATTCCATCATTTTTTAAAGTAGTTTAGTGTATTGGTGCATACTCCACAATCGTGTTATTTTAAAATATTATGCAATATAATATGTGCAATGTCCACAGTTCAAATTTATCGGCTTGATTTTTTTTACACAGATATTGTGTAGAGCAGGGGTTACCAATTAATTTTTCCCGTGGAACCCTTTGACATAATGCGCTAACAACATGGAACCCCAAAAATGTTTGGCCGCCGTAGCGCAGATAGTAAACAGGTCGTAGTACTTAGGAGCAGGTGTGCTTTTGTGTGTACAGTTGGTGTTTGTATATAATGTTAGCGGTTTGATACAGGTGTGTGTTTGCATGTAGGAGTGTGCTTGGATGTAGTATTAGCTTTTAAATGCAGATGTACATTTGTGTGTAGTATTAGTGTTTGAGTGAAGGGTGTGTTTGTATATAAATTTGAAATTTTAATCCAGGGGTTTTTGTATGTAATGTTTGTGTTTGCTGGAGTGTGTTTGCATGTTGTGTTGGTGTTTGATTGCTGGGATGTATGCACATATATGTGTTTGATTGCTGGGATGGTGTTTAATTGCTGGGATGTATGCACATATGATTGCTGTATGTATGCCACCTACGTACGTATGTACGTACGTACATAATTAACACACAGACACACATATAAAAACATTGACACTTACACACACATTCATATACACACAGACACAAAGATAAACACCTTGACACACAGATACACACTAGCACATACACACACACACACCAATACAAACATACTGACATACACACACTCATATACACACAGTGACATACACTCAAACCTTGACACACAGATAAACACAATGACACATTCAGACACACATACACACTCACTGACAAGCACGCATACACTCTAACTGACAAACACACACACACACACACACTGACAAACACACATACAAACTCCTTAACAAACACACACAATTTATTATTGTTTTTAAATTTCACTCCACCCAGTGCTGGGAGTGCTGGCGTGGGGTCTCTATTTCCCTGGGGTCCAGTGCTGTTCTGCATAGGCCTCAACCCCCTTAGCCAGATCATCAAGAAGAGTGGACACGGCTACAGGTTCTACAGAATGAGATCACCCATATTCTTGGTAACAAGGTGATGCTGTAAGTGAGCCGAGTGCATGGTGATATCGTTCAGCTCCGCAGAAGTTGAAAGCACATCACCAGAGGAATTAGGAGCGGGAACCCAGGTAAGACTGCAAACCGTTGCTAAACGGGTTGCCCCATCATCAGGGAACTGGCTAAGGGTAGTCCTAGACTCCATGCATCATAAACACTACTGTGGACTGTGATAGTTATGATTCTTAGAGTAACCCTTTAAGGCTTTTTTTGTGGAAGTGGCAATACCGGGAGTGTAGACAACAAGACAGATACATTTCACGGCAAGATAAAGTCTCCTAAGACTTAGGTGGTAAGAAACAAAGGGCAGCTCTAAGAAAGTCTTGTACTCGATGCAACTAAAGGGGAACGGTCAGTTGCCAGTGTGTTTACTTATACCCTATATTTAAAGAATATGTAGATGATGTGAAAATAAATTAAATGTCAAAAATCTACACCTCTTTACAGTTGGGCATTTCCATCCCTGTCAATCCTTATTACAAACTCTGTTCTACGCTTGCTGGCAGCCAGCATAGAGAAACTGTAATGTAATTTGCTAAATCTTTAATCAAAATGTAAAGGAAAGCAGAATGTCTCATGAAAAGAAGGTTAAGGTGATTATCAATAAGGTATAATTAATTACAGAGAAGTGCCAGTTACCTTTTAACATCTAGTAGGAGATGTTGAGATAATTATAAAAGAGGAATGCATGGGCTGAAGAGGGTATATACTTATTATTAATGGTAGAAATCAGAGGGAGTTGTGGAGGGATTTTTAAGCCAAGAGTTGAAATCTTATTCTTGGTTTGATGTGAAGGCAGTGTAGTGCTTTGAGTGGTAAAGCAGTTGAGGAAAGAAACTTGTAGAAAGGAAGCCAGGTGGCAGCACTTTGTATAGACTCAAGATGAATCAAAATGTCAATTTTGATCTAGAAAAAGAAGCTTCAATTATAAGACGTGTCTGTTGAAATCCTACATTTAGAGCTTCTTTGCAAACCTGCATGCCATGGTATGAAATTAGAGGCCAACACTTGCTTGTTTGAAGTTTGAAGGGAAAAAAAAACTTAATGATCATAAAGTATGCAGGCTATTTAAAGTTCGACACCAAACATCTTAACCACATCATAGCAGACATAAACACAGCCCTTCACTTAGACAGTTTTGGAAACACCACATATAATAAAAAAGAAAAAGAACATTTCTTTCATAGAGTACCACATATCCAACCTATCATAAACATTTCTGTAGACAACAGATGTAAATTATATATGGCAGAGGGTTCTCTAAGCAAAGAGCTAAATTACTCATGAAAATAAACCATTTTCCACCAGTTTACCCCGTCCACCCTGCTGCCCCATGCAACAAATGTGACTTTTGCAGTCTAATTAACCAACACAATGCATGTAATCCAATAGTAATAGTAATAAAAAGTTATTAAGATAAACACCATATGTAGGAAGATCTCTGTATCAAATAAAGGGGGCATCAAGTTCCTCTAACAGCTGCAGTTTAACCTCTTTGTGTCCACAAACACAACTTATGAACTTTGTGATTGGTGTCGTACTGTGTAGTAAGGCCATTTAAAATGGTGTCATCAGAAAGCTGGTCTCAGTGACATCTAAACAGCACGAACGAATCATTAGACATACGCCATGCTGAGTAACCTCAATCAGTGGCGGATCCAGAGCCTGATCTTGGGAGGGGCAATTGTGGATTATTTAAAGAAATAATCCAGGCACAATAACCACTACAACTCAGTATAGTAGTTATGGTGCCAGTAGTGCCAGGATCCCATCTCAGAGTAAGTAGTCAAACCGTTTAAGAACAGTTTGACAACTTACCTGGGGTCTGCTGGGATATAGGGCATAGGAGCAGTAGTATGTGTAAGTGGTGAAGTGTGTGTGAAAGGTGCAGTGTGTGTGCGAGCGGTGAAGTGTGTGTGTGAGTGCGTGAGGGCGGCAGTGTATGTCAGGGCTGCAGTGTGTGTGTTAGGGGGCAGTGTATGTGTGGGGCAGTGTGTGTGTGTGAGAGAGCTGCAGTGTGTGTGAGCGGTGCAGTGTGTATGTGAGGGGGCAGTGTGTTTGAGAGTTGCAGTGTGTGTGTGTGAGGCTTGCAGTGTATGTGTGTTTGGGGCAGTGTGTGTATGGGGGCACTGTATGTGTGTATGGGGGGGCACTGTATGTGTGCATGGGGCAGTGTGTGTAAGGGGGCACTGTATGTGTGTGTGGGACAGTGTGTATGTGGGGCACAGTGTGTGGGGGGCACTGTATGTGTGTTTGGGGCAGAGTGTGTATGGGGGGCACTATATGTGTGTGTGGGGGCACTGTCTGTGTGTGTGGGAGGCCATGTGTGTATGGGGGCAGTGTGAGTATGGGGGGCAATGTGTGTATGTGTGGCAATGTGTGTATGGGGGGGCAGTGTGTCTGTGGGGCAATGTGTGTATGGGTGTGCAGTGTGTGTATAGGGAGCACTGTATGTGTGTGTGTTGCAGTGTGTGTATGGGGGGCACTGTATGTGTCTGTGGGGCAATGTGTGTATGGGTGTGCAGTGTATGTGTGTGGGAGCAATGTGGCTATGGGTGTGCAGTGTGTGTATGTGAGGCAGTGTGTGTATGTGAGGCAGTGTTTGTGGGGCAGTGTGTGTATGGGGGGGCAATGTTTGTGGGGCAGTGTGTGTATGGGGGCAGTGTGTGTATGGGGGGGAAGGAGGGTAGGGAGGCTTTTTAATAATGTTTTTTATTTTATTTAATAAAATAAATACATTTATGTCCCCCCTACCTTATTTTTACTGAGGGAGGAGAGGGGACGTTTCTTGATCTCTGGTGGTCCGTGGGGTATCCCTGGTGGTTCCAGTGGTTAGAGTGAACTCTAGCCCGTAGCTCCAGGGCAACCGTGGCAATGCTCCGTGCTCGCGAGGGTAGGACCCGGAGGAGCTGCAGGCTGAGCTCCCGTGCCCTCTCTCCCTCCCTCCCCTGTCGGCTGGCAGCAATGCGCCTGCGGACTGGGGAGGGAGATCTCTGATCTCTCTGATCTCCCTCCTCGGTCCGCAGGCACATGGCAGGGCAGGCACTTGGACAATGCCAGCCCTGCATTAGCCGGCATGGGAGAATCTCGGGGGGGGGGGGCAACGGGGCAACTGGCCACTGACCTCAATCCATAAACACCATGGGCAGAGCTCTACAAGAGTGTGCTAGGCACGGTTTGCCCTGAGTTGAGCTAGCAAGAGCACCTGTCTTTCCACTTGCAGTGCACACATGGCAGACTTAGACATGCATCCATTGTCGACAGACTGGCCTAGCTGTCCCACTTCCACACCTCACATTGTTGTATCAGAAAAAAACAAGCCCGTTCAGTCCTTAAACATAAATATATAAGAACAAACACTAAACAATGTACCAAAAAGACATCATGAATGCAAGGAATAAGAGAGAGGGGAGAGATATTTTTTGGACCCCAAAATGACAGTTTTCAGATTACATCTAAACCCTGAGCTAAGTTACTATTACCCCACGAATACATTTTGAATAAAAAGGAAACAAATGAATGAATAAAAATGATGAATTAAATAGCGAATATGGTCAACACATGGGGTGAAATTGCGTAATTAAAATTTGTCAGTTTTATTAAAGGGACACTATAGTCACTAGAACAACTAGAGCTTATTGTATTTGTTTTGGTGGGCAGACTCATTCCCTTCAAGCTTTCTGCTAAAAACAATTTTTTTTTTAGAGAAAGGTAGTGCTTACATTACAGCCTAGGCCATTCCCCAGATGGCTACTACAGGTGCTTCCCTCTGCATGGAGACAATGAATTTTCCTCATAGAGATGCATAGAGATGCTCCGCTCACAGCCCGCCTCCTTGGCTGAGCTTATCAGAATTGACAATCTCATCCAATCCAATGCTTTCCTATGGGCAAGTATTGTGAGTGGTTGAGATAATCACTTCAGATGATGTCAGCCAAGGAGGCAGATCAGGGGCAGAGCCAGTAGCAGCAGGTTGGGATAACTCCACTAGCTGCTCGTCAGATGGCTACTAGAGGAACTTCCTGGGACAGTGTGTTACACAGTGTGACTGACATTCAGTGTTTCCACCTTCTGCATGGAGACACTGAACATTCCTCATAGAAATGCATTGATTCAATGTATCTCTATAATGAGATGCTGATTGGCCAGGGCTGTGTTTGGCTTGTGCTGGCTCTGCCCCTGACCTGCCTCCTTGGCATTCTCAGTCAATCCTACAGGAAGGCATTGTGATTGGCTGATAGAATCACTTCTGATGATGTCAGCCAAGCAGGCAGATCAGGGGCACAGTCAGCAGCAGCAGACTGGAGTAAAAGTAAGATTCTATTATATTTAGGGAGTCAAGGAGGGACCAGGGGGGTAGATGGTGTTTTTAACACTATATGGTCAGGAATACATGTTTGTGTTCCTGTCCCTATAGTGTTCCATTAATCACTTGTGAAATCTCAATAACACTCCACAATATATTTTGGTAATGTTCATTCAGCCATTCACTTGTTGAAACATTTTCCATTCTACAAATGGAAAATTTTTCAACAAGTGATGCCTATCTTACAGGAAAAAAACAAAAACAAAAAAATACACAACTCTAATGGGTATCGAAATGCTGCCTACTTAATAGATGTCTAAATAAACCACACAAAAAACATTGTGCAAACATGTATGATGAAAAATACCAACATCACAGTAGATGTGCAATTCATTTAAATATGGGAATATTTAAGCTGGTGCGCACTGCATTTTTCCAAACTTTCCCATGGATCTAGTCTTTGAAACTAACATACCTCATAGGATTATAGAAATAAATCTGGAGAGGACAATTTATCTAAAATCTGCAATTATATTGTAAAAGAAAGAAAATGAATTTAAATTCTTCACATCTTCTAGAACTATATCCATCTTTTATTCAGAAGAGATAGCAGTAATGCAGAATGCATTAGCCCTCCAAGAAAGAAAGGGGTTTATTGATCCTGACAAATAGTGTAATAATGTGCTTATGCCCCCAGTCTGAGCAAAAAATGATTACCAGACTACTTTTATAAATACTGATTTTACAATTTTCAATAAATGGCTATATTATTTTATGAGAACAGATCTTTTTTTCTGACAGTTAATCCTGCCATCATCTAGCAAGTAATAGAAAAAGTGTGTAACCATCCCCTGCCTCAAGGAGAGCTGAACATATTTCTTCAGGGCTCGCTGTAGGCCATACCAAAGAGGTGAATCAGAGTTTTATGAAGCCTAATTGAAATGGACAACTTGCTTATTATGTTTATTCTTTGTCAAATTAAAAAAATAAATAAAATAAGTTCTCCAATTTCCATGAATCATGCAGCAGAATCACTGAATGCGCTACACTTACCAAACCTTGGCAGTGAAGACCACCCAAAAAGGCTAAATCATACAATACAGCACATATATATGTTTAAAAATTGACACATAAATAAGAGTTTGAGCTGCCTACAAAAGAGCCTTTTGTGTCTGGTGCATATTACAGCGGCTCTCTCACCCCCTATATTAAAAGAATAATATTTAATAAAAATGTAACCTGTATGATATACTCAGATTGACTGTTGGAATTTCACATTCAAAAGATATATTAAGACAAAGAAGGGACTCTCTTGAGGGATTCTCCATAGACCTAAATGCCGTACTCACAAAAGTCTTGGAAAAGGACCCGCCAGATCAGGACGGCTGCTCCCGGGACAGGTTCAGGTAAGTAAATCTCACTTTTACCTGCACATCCCTCCCTCCCCCACCACGGGACTCCAGTGGCGATGTCACGGTCGGGTGTGTTAGCAAATTTGACAAATTCCCAAGGCGGTGACAGTGCCACTTTAATCTGCACAGAAGGGAAGGCATTCCAGTACTTTGTAAGGAATAAATGTCTGTATTCCTGACACTATAGTGTACCTTTAAGAGGAGGGAGAAAAAAAAAGTTTTTTATGGTTCTTATATGGTTTCCAAAAATCTGTGTCCAGTAATTTGAGTAGCTCAGTCAAATAAAAACACAGAAAATGTGTAAATCCAGTAATTTGGCTACATTAGCTATATATACACACATAATTAAACCATTGCATTGTAGTGAAATGAAAAACAAAATACAAAATGTTAACATTTCTTTAGAGGTATTATTCCCAGCACTAGAATTAAGAGTACTTTGTATTCATAAAGGAATACTGATTTTAATTAAATACAGGAAAACAGATATAATTTTTTTTAAATTTTCCACTTTTGGAACTAGGAACTAGTATTCTGAAGAAAAAAAAATGGCTAGCTAGATTGCGTTTTAGCATATCACAGCAACAATACATAAATGCATCTAGGTTTTCCTACAGTAAAGAACATGTCTTAAAGATTTTTTCAGTTCATTATGATAACAATTAAAGAGTGTCAAGTATTACCTATACTTTATGAAATCGGTTTGAAATTGCTGTCATCTAAGTCACATGAATGCTGGATTTCTGAGCTGTGCAAAGTTTAACCAAATCACGGTATATAACTCAGGAAATTTAAGGATTTATTTTTTTTATTAGGACTAACTAGACAGCCATATCCTCAAAATAGATAGGGGACAGTCACACCTTAAATTAGGTTATAAGTCCATGTGAACTGAAAGAAGGCACTATGTCAGCCGAAAAGTTGCATGGTATGCTTCAATAAATCTACCTTAGCTTTAGTCCATTTCAGTGCCCGGTTCTTTCTTAATTTCTGAGTGAATGAAGAGTGCAACACTCTGGACTTTTCCTGATTTGTTGTGTGTGCCTGCTCATTTTTAGAATGGTAACAGAACAGGCACTTGTTGGATTTCCCCTTTGCCGTATCTCAGCTGAGGGCAAGCTTATAGCAGCAGTGACTTAAAAAAATGTATTTGTCAATTATGCTGCTAGCATGGTTCCTAGATGTTAGAAACAAATATTGTTGTTTGTATAGGGTTCAATGTCACATGGACGTTGTAGATGATAAATTCCGTTTTGGCAAGCAAAACAAAGCTATACATGTTACTGCTAGTTTATGTTTGCTTTTTGGTATGTGCATCCAGATATAGCCACACAATTCTCATCCTAAACTTTGATCAAACCCAAAACACACAGAAATTTCTGGGCTTAATTGGTACTGTGGCCGAGCACATAAAAGCACAGCAAATATGTATAGAAAATAAAAGTGGAATCTTTAATTTAGCACACACTGCTGAGAAAAAGTTTATTGTTTACAAAAAAAAGTCACCCTGCCATTTTCAAATGACACACAGCAATAACCACGTAACCATTTAAAAAATGCTATTATAACATTGCAGACAGTTTGCATGCTGTACTGACAAAACAGGATATTGGAACTAAAGCTTTTAACGCAGGAACCATATACACAAATCATACAACTATAATTTAAGATTTATGACAGTTTGATAAGGTTTTTTTGTGTTCCCACCTCCCTTGGCAAAGCACAGGCAAGACAGCTTGAATGTCTTTTTCACAGCATGTCAGATAATAGTTATTTTACTGAGTATTCATTATCCTATGACTAAGGATCACCACTGACAATGATAGTCATGTTAAACAATAACAGAAAAGTCAAATTTTGAGTTAGACACTTGTTACAGTAAGTGATACAAAATAATGCAATAGGAACTATCCACACCTATGTGATAACAATCAATTTACAAAAGCAGCTATAATACTTAATATGCAATTTCCCTAACCAATAAATAAGTAAACAGTAGTTGACACTTAAAATCCTGGTAAAATTTGCAATTTTGAAAAAAAGAGAAAACAAGAGAAGACTATTGTAACTAAAAGATTATCCAATAAATTGGGAGATCTGTAATATTTCAACCTGCATTTTACAGAGCAACTAACTCAGCTTAGGGAGTGCAGCTTATATCTGTAGAATAACCGTCTAACTGGAAATCGATCAGTAGTTCATCAGACCAAATAGGATAAAAGTTCATGAGACCAATAAAGGATAAACATTAGGTAAGCATCAGTTGATCAAATAGCCTGGTATAATATGCAGGCTCTAATGGAACAACATGTCACAAAATATTCTGCAACATGTGAAAAGGTGAGGTGGCTGAGCATCAACATGTAGATCAAGTCGGTTTATGTGATTAATGCATATTTACAATCTTAGTAAGACAGGACCAGAAAGAAGCCACTATGCCATCAAGCTAGCTCGTTGTCCCAAACCTGTTCTATCCACATTGCAGCACAATAAAGAAGTGGTAACTCCTACATTTACTAGGGGAAACAAAATGTTTTAACAACATATCAGATGCCATTTGGTAGTTTTACAGGACTGTTTAAATTAACACTATAGGGTAATGAACACAAACATGTATTCCTGACATTTCAGTGTTAAAAATGCCATCTGGCCCCCCATTACCACCTTAAATATGGTAAAACCTTACCTTTATTCCAGTCTGCTGCTTCTGGCTCTGCCCCTGATCTGCCCCCTTGGCAGAAATTATGTTCTCAGCCAATCACAATGCTTTCCTATAGAAAAGCATTGGATTGACTGACATTGCCAAGGAAGTGCGGCAGGGCCAGAACCAGCACAAGCCAAACCCAGCTCTGGTCAATTAGCATCTCCTCATAAAGATCAATGCATCAATGTTCCTGTAGTGGTAAAATGGAAGCAGTACCCTGGAGCTGTTTCTTGCTAATTGGGTAAAACTTTTTGCAATGATTTGCCCTATTTCCTGTGTCCAGGCAAGGAGCCTGGTCTCCTCTGCTGCAATGCTTCCAACATCCACTCTAATCCAACTCTGTACATATAAATCTGCACATAACTGGCATTAGCAAGCCTGGAATTCTTGTTCTGGGCTGGCTAATAACTCCCCAATGATCCTGACAGAGATGGAGTTACACCTCTGGCAGCAAATAGGTTAAACTCCGCATGTGCTGCATTTCATATAGAAACACTGCACATACAGTCGTCAAGCATCATGGCCACTTTAAATCACTGAAGTGGTCATGGTTCTTAGAGTAACCCTTTAAAGGATTATTGTATATGTCATCTGCTGGATTCCTATAACAGGCACCAAGGCTTGAGTGGGTAATAAGTAAGTTGTATCAATCAGTATTTGGTTGGCATCTCATGCCATAAATGTAATTGCACAGTCAAGAAAACTGAAACATTCACCCGTGATGTCAGGGTACAGACAGTTGTTTTTTTCTTTCCTCTTTCCAGACATAGATGAGACAGAAACAAAATACCTTTGCCCTATAATCTATTTAAAGAGCATAGTAGTTATGGTACATTGTAATGTCCCTTTAGAGGAACACTATAGTGCCAGGAAAACAAAGTTGTTTTCCTGGCACTATATCTCTTTATAGTGCTCCCCACCCCCACCCCCTGTGGTGAAGCTGGGGTTAAAAAGCCTGTCACTCACTTGAGTCCAGCACCGATGTCCCTTGGCCCTGGTTCGGGGTCCGACTTCGCTCCACCCCTGCCGTAGTCAGCCAGTGGGAGAGACCTAATGCGCATGCTTTAGAACAGCCCCATTGGAAAGCATTATGCAATGCTTCCCTATTGGGTTTCAGGTGTGGCTGGATGTCCTCATGCACAGTGTAAGTACATACACCATTAGTTAGGGGGCCAAAGGTCGCCTAACGACCCAGAAGTCCCTCTTGTGGATGTCTGGTAGGTAGCCACTAGAGTTGGAGTTAACCCATTAAGGTAATTATTGCAGTTAATTAAAAACTGCAATAATTACCTTTCAACGGTTAAGGGACTTGGGAATATGCACCCAGACCAGTTCAATGAGCTGAAGTGGTCCGTGTGCCTAAATTGTCCCTTTAATAACAGCCTTTAAAAAAACAAATGTTTTGCAAAATACATGCCAATAGCAGATTTCCGAATAATCATTAAAGTCCTTTAGGACTCTGCCATTGTTTACATTATAGCTGTTTCAAGAGCAGTAATTTTTTTCCCCATGTATTAGGCCTGAGCATTAATAAGCCATTCTCAGCAATTGAGATATCTTCAGTTTGTAAAGAAAAAAATCGCCACTCCCTTTTAAGCTCTGTCATATATCAACACTAATGCAATGCCAAGTGAATACACTACTGCAGGGAATATCCTGATATTTACATTCTGATATAACATGTCCATTAGTGTAATAAAGTAACGCTTTAAGCTATATCATATGCTGTACAATATTTCATAATATCACATGCCCATAGCTGCAGCATGTAATGTAACTTATCTCATAAAGTACATATATTAGAGCAATCAGAAACACGTTATTTACCAGACATATCGTATTTTACTTTATCACAAAGAATATAATATCCTAAAAGATTAACAAAGAAATATTTCAATTTGTTTATTTTTTTGTGATGGCTGTCACTACAACAGAGTAGCAGAACCTTATTTCTAAGTACTGCATACAGTGCAGATGATCAGAAGCACTTTTTTCACACACATATACATACACACATACACACACAATGCAATGCATCATTATTGATAAAGTAAAAGCACATCATTAGGATTGGATAGATTTTTGTTATCATGCTGGCAAATAGTACACACCAAATATTAATCCGTTAAAATCCCAAAAAAGTGTTACATTATTTCTACATACAAAAAAAAAGAAAAATGTTGAATTGTTTTCTCCACTGAAGATACAAATAATGTAAATGGCTCATTATTGATTTTGCAATTCGTTTTGAATCCACTTACAATAAAATACTACCAATATATGCAAAGCTAATAAGCTTAACCCTAGATAAAAAATAACAATACCAACAAAAAAAATACAATAATACAACTCATATAATCCCAAAATAGATTGATTTTCCAAACACTCGTTTTACTGTAAGTCATACAAGAAGAGCATAGCATACCTAGCTAGTGACTGTGAACTATTTTTGCCCATCACATCACAAAAATCGGGGGTAAGAGAGACTATAAATTGAGACGTTTACCATATGATTTTATTTATTAAAAGTCTCCATATTCCATCTTGCATAGATCACACCAACCTGCAGTGTTAGGAAACACTGATCTCACATACATCATGGTAACAATATCGATACAAAACTGCCCACAAGCTACTTACAGATAGAAGACCGATACAGAGTACACTGGAGGCTATGTATTAAGAGAAATTATGGTGCAAAGTCCTAAAAGTGGGGTAATTAGCATTAACATTCCATTGGTTTCCAAGGTGACAGCTCTACTTTCTAGAACTTTGCCCCAGCATTACTGTGTATACATCATCCCCTATACATCACAGTATATGGCATGCAGACACACACCCCCTTCTATAGAGCGTTACAACAGGCACAAGCCAAAAAGTTTCCTTCCAGCAGATCTACCCATTGCACGGATTGCTATATACCCCTATCTGATCCAGAGTTCAGCATGGAATCCTGCAGGCTGTCACTGGGCGACCACTGTCTGCCAGACAGGCTACACACTCACCTGGCAGGGCTGTGGCTGCAGACAGGCTGCTCCGGGAGCTGATGCGATGCTTGCTCTGTCTGGATTGCATTGGCTGTGTGTTTACAGTAGTCCTCATGATCTCTGCCCGACCCCTTTTTTCCCATTCTGTCTCCAGACTCACCGATCTCCTCCTACTACACCTCTCCTCCCACCCATTGGCTGACATCACTGACAGGCCGGTCACCCGCCCCCTCCATTCCCAAACATTGACTCAGTGCTCGCCTTACTCTCAGGCTGTAAAATCAGTACAACGCCCAGGAATATCCCCCGCAGCTCTCAGGGCGAGGCACATGTATGGCAGCAGGAGTGTCCTCACTAGTTACACATGTGATTCCATCCTAACAGGCGTTATTATCATACAATGCTACATTGTATCTCTGTTTAAACATTACATTGCTGAAGGCTCATCAGATATGGCTGTATCCAAGAAATAAAGCATTACCCCCCTCCCCCTCTTACCACCACCACCTGCTGAAAAGTGAATATTTCATAAATATAGAATGGTTATGAAATACTCGTTTTGACTGTGCTGTAATTCCAACCCAGACGAGAAATATACTGAGACAAATTAGGGACTACTATATCTCTTCTGCCTGACACCTCTAGACACTGGGCAGAGATTAAATTGGCTCTGTCAATGGAGGATCCTGAAGGATCCTCCATAAACCTCAATTCTGTACGCTTGCGCATGTACAGCAGTCGCGTTGGCTCCTGGTGCTAAAGCGGACCCGCCAGAGGAAGATGGTCACATGAGCGAGTGACAAGTTAAGGTAAGTAGAACTCACCCTTCCCTGAATCCCCCAGCGGCGATGTCACCATTGGAGGTCTTTGCGAATTCTTTTGCACATAAGTCCCCAGACGGTGAAAGTGCAAATTTAAATGTATGGTAACGTATATTTATACCTATATACACATTTATGTATATGTAAATTTGTATGTATATAAGAATGTGCATTTTTATTTTTGTGTACCTGTGTGAGTGCCAGGGCCAACCATTGGTATTAGCCTTTTTGAATTATTAAATGGTTCAAAATAAAGATTCTGTATCTTAATGGAGATTACATTATCTATATTGACAAACAATATGGAGAAACTTCTAGATGGTTTCAATACAGTTTTTTACTGTATTTCTTTGTTGTACTCTAAGTGAATAATTTTCACCTGGGCCTGTATGGGGTAATATCAGATTGACCAGGGCCACGGTGGTACTAAATTAACTTTTTAAGCCTAAAATCTGAGTTTTAGTTTGATCATCCTTTTATATGTAATAGTTAACTATTTAAAGGAACACGAAAGGCATCAAGACTACTTAATCTCTTCATGAAGTGGTCTGTGTATTGTTTCTGGGATAATATGTCTGGTAGTAATAAACACTGCCACTTTGTAGAAACTGTTTTGTTTACATTGCAGGGTTAAACACAACTCTAGCGGTTTTCTTCCCGATAGCCACTAGAGGTGATTCCGCTGCAACAACCAAGTTTTACAGTCATGTCATATTCAACAACCGCGAGGACGTCAAATATCATCAAAAGCTGCTCGTATGAAAGCACTGTATCCAATGTTTCCTTATAAGAAGTATTTGATTGGACTAGAGTGGTGATTGCAGTGCATGCGGCTGCACTTCTCATCTGCAATGATTTTCTATGAGAAACATTTGATTGGACAACAAGCTGTAAAAGAGGCAGCAGACAATATTACATTGCAGGAGAAGGCAGCAAGGATTGAGACATGGCGCTGGAAAAAAGTACATAAAACCTTTTTTTCTTTATATATTCTTAAAGACTATTGGTTGTCAAACACCTTGCATAAGAATGTGCTGGGTTCATCACCAAGAGTTACATGTAATTAAGAGAACTAAAATATTGCATATAGTGATAAAACATAACTTTTATTAGTAATATAAAGGGACACTATAGGCACCCAGATCACCTTATCTCAATGAAGTGGTCTGGGTGCAGTGTCCTAGTCCCACTTAGTCCTGCAATGTAAAGCATTGCAGATTATGAGAAACTGCAATGTTTACATTGCAGTACTAAGAGAGCCTCTAGTGGCTATCTACCACACAGCTACAAGAGGCGCTTCTGGGAGCTTTCCTATGTAGAGGGCCTAATGCGCTTCCAGCTCTTGCTGCGCTTGCGCATTAGGTCTCCCCGTTGGATGACGTCAGAGGAGGCAGAGCGATGACCCAGCACCAAAGGACATCGGCGCTGGAATCAGGTGTCACGGTGTAATACCCCAACACGCAGAGTTCAGGACAGCAATGGACAAGACAGGGAAAAAACATATGACCGGACATAACGTCGTACAAGAAAAAGCGTAGTCAAGATCCTAACCGAGGTTAAAGTAACAGAGAGACAGCGAAAATTATAACTAGACGGAGTCAGGTACACGGTAATCAGTCAGACAGGCAAACAATACAGGAAAGGGTTAAAGCAAAACGCAGAGGCAGAATGACGGCAAGGTCAATACCAGAACAACAATACAAGAGAACAAGGAAGCATATTGTGGTGTCTGGGACAGAAACCACAATAGAGCACAGTACACAGGGCCATGGAGGTTTAAAAAACCTTAAGTTATCTGTGATTGGTCCACATCATGCCTGTGTCCCCAAACCTTGCGTGCATGAGGGTGCTGGAATGACGCAGGCCAATAGGAGCCTCAAACTATCTGGGGCTCCTCTTTCCCCACTAAGATTTGTGCTTGTGCTGGAAGCAGTGCTCGTAATTATGCACGGCGGGCCGTAGCGGTTGATGCCCGCTCAGCATGTGGAGTGACTGAGCTGCGTGTGGCTTGTGTAGGTGCAGGGGTGCTGGCAAGTGGAGCGGGTAAGTACTGCTACATTGAGTGAGTAAATAAAGGTGTTTTTTTTTTAACCCTTTATCTAAATTATATTATTAAAAACTATATGTAATATTCTAGTTCTGGGAAAAAACGTATTTCTCATTAGAGGTTACCGAGCTCCCTTTCCATTAGAACCTCTATTCAATAGCGCTGACCTGTTTTATTGTACACAGTTTACATCCTTATGGCATGCACTTTTTGCATATGCTAGATTAGGTTTCACATACTTGCAGAATACTTTCTAGTAACCTTTTATATTGTCCAAACTAATCTACTCTTACCTTTCATTAGTAGTAATATCCACTTTACTTGCTTTTATTAAAGGGGACCTGTCAATTCCCAGGACCTTTCATATTATGTTTGCATGTTCTTTATGTTTAGCAAATATTCATTGTTAGGTCTGAAAAATAAAATAAAATGTAGAAATTCACACTACTGTATTTACTTATATGCTGAAAAAGAACACTTTCACTATGGCTCTCTGTCAATTATTGTTACAAGCTCAGCCATTTGGACCCATCAATCTGTAAAGAAAGATAGTAGATACAATGCTATGTGTGCCTTGACTGGGATTGAACCGGATAGTGATGTCAGTAACTTAATTTTTAATATACTGTACATCTAAAAGAAAATGAAGCATAACATAAAAAGCACACAGAGGTTACAAGTGATTTCCTATGTTTTCTCACTTCTCTGTCATAAAACTTGTCATGTTAACTTTTTTTCTACATTACAATTTTATTTTTCACACCTCACAAATACATATTAATTATATGGTCATATAAGCATATTATTAAAAGAAATCCTGGGAAGTAACTGTTTTCCCTTTGATGGTGTAATTTACAGAAAATAGAAATTTCCCCTTTAAAGGGACACTATTGGCACCCAGACCACTTTATCTCATTGAATGTATCTGGGTACAGTGTCCCTGTCCACTTAGCCCTGCAATGTAAAACATTCAGAGAAATTGCAATGTTTATGCTACAGGAATAAGACTGTTTCACACAGGTTAACTAACTCAGTGAAATGACGCTTGACATCCTCATGCTTTCCTGGGAGGATTTAAATAATAAAAAAAAAAAGTTAGTGTGAGTGTTGCAGTATGTGTGTGTGTGTCTGACGGTTTGTGTGTCTATCCATGTGTCTCTCTGTGTCAATGTGTGTCTTTTGTCAGTGAGTGTGTTTATCAAATCAGTGTGTGTGTGTGTGTCTCTCAGTGAGTGTGTATGTTTAGGTGACCTTCCCCCCAGGGCCATCTTTAATATTGATTGGACCCTGGGCAAGCATCTGTTTGGGCCCCCTGGGCATGCAATCACTCCCTCCACCCCAACCTAGAGGCGAAACTAATGTAGAGAGTGCCTTGGTGCAACAAAAAAAAATTCAGGCCTGCCCTGTAGCACAAGAGTAAAGAAAAGATAGATCCCCATCTGTCATACAACTCCTGCGATGCTATGCCATCTGGGGATCTACCATCCTTGCAGGGTTGTATTTTTGAGCAGTGTTTGTGCAAATGAATGTCAGCATGTTATTGTATAGAGTGTATGTGTGCATGTAGGAGTGTATTTGTATGTACTGTTACCATTGGAATGCAGTGGTGTACTTGTGTGTAGTGTTTGCATTTTAATGCAGGGATGTGTGATTGTTTGTAGTGTTAGCTTTTAAATGCAGGTGTACTTTTGTGTGTAGAGTTGGTGTTTGTATATAATTTTAGCGTTTTAATACAGGAATGTGTTTGCATGTAATGTTTGTATTTGCATGCAGGGGGGTGTTTGGATGTAGTGTTGTCTTTTAAATACATGTGTACATTTGTGTGTAGTATTAGTGTTTCAGCAAACTTGTGTGTTTGTAATGTTTGTGTTTGCAGGGGTCTGTTTGCATGTTGTGTGATTTCTATAACACATATACACATACACATTAACACGCAGATACACACATGCTCACACTGACACATGCTCACACCTTGACACATACTGGCACACACACACACACACACACACACACACTCAGATACACACCCTTTGACACACAGATACAAGCACTTTGATATACACACACTGGCACACACACACACACACTGACACAGGTATATACACACACACTCAAATACACACATACATAAAGGTATAAATGCAGGGGTGTATATGTGTACAGTGCTAGTGATGGAATGTAGGAGTGTATTTGTGTTGGCATTAAAATGCTGGGATGTATGCATTACCACACACTCAGATGCACACTTACACACACACCGAAACACACACACAGGTGCACATACAGGTGTATGAGGTATACATACACACAGAAACACTGACACACAGACAAACACAGCCAGATACACACAAGGACATAAACACAGCCAGATACACACAAGGACATAAACACAGCCAGATACACACATATATATGTGTACATTTACATATTTTAATCTCTGCCTTCTAGCAGCTCTTGGACAGCAACTCCCAGCAACCTTGGCCAATATAATGTCTCAACTCTGTTCTTACATACCCTGGTCCAGAATTTGGCAAAAGTGACATTTGAAAATGGTGTACAGCCTTTGATAACACTTTATATTTAATAGGGAACTGTCAGGTTCTTCTAGGATTTTTAACATGTACTTATTCCCTGTGTGTTACATTACAAACACCAACACTTAAATAAAAGTGATATCAGAAATTAGCAAAACAAAAAACAAAACATATTTAGCCACCCTCCTGTCTCCTTACCTTTAGGGTACAGAAAGGCTTCCCTGGTGTTCAGTGAGAGCTTGCTGGCCCAGGCTGATGGGAGTCTGCCATCAGCTTTCTCAGTCCCTCTCCCCCACAATGCTTGCATCCTCCTCCATGTGGTGTGTGCCTCTTCCCCAGCGGCACTGAGGAGGAAGTGATCAGTTCTTACTGGGAGGAAGCAATCTGACCCCACTTCCTCCCAGCATGCCCAGGAAACAAAGAGACTCACAGGGCAGTATGTGAGGGGGCTAGCTGTGAGTATGTAGTCAGCCACCCCTCATATAACAGGGGCCCGGGCCAGTCCAGAGCAGTATTAAAGGGCTGTGGCCACTGATTACCTCAGGTGCCGCAGGGGGCCCATGGGGCAGCTGCCTTAGGGCCCCCAGTAGTAACTGGGCCCGGGGCAGCTGCCCCTTTTGCCCCTCCTTAAAGACAGCCCTGCTTCCCCCTTCCAATCACATGGGAAAGATGTATTTACTCACCTTTTCCCCACGCCGTGCTAATGAAGCTGCAGTTGGCCCCACCTCTATGGCTGAGATCATCATAGGAAAGCATTGGGAGACTATTGAGAATGTGCGGCAAAACACCACACCACCAATCAACTTCTTCCTTATAGAATCAATGCATCCCTATGGAGAGTATTAATGTAGGTGCTGCACACTGTGCAGCATTGACCCAGGAAGCACCTCTAGAGACTGTCTGAGTGACTATAACTACAAGTGTTACCAGGTATCAATATAAACAACATTTGTCGAAAAGTCAGTTTTTCCATTGAAAAGCATACAGGGACAAGATATATAATATATATATATAATATATTATATATATAAAGAATAGTATTTTTGACGTTGAAAAACCTGACTCCTACATTTTTTAGCTGGCTCCTAGATTCCAAGCAAATTTGTCAAGCCTTGCTTTATTCTGTGCAAATCAATTTAGGAGCTCCATCGCAATTCTGGAGCTCACAGTGCTGTTTGAGGTACTCTGAGTCATGGAGAAGCATCAAGAACCGTGAGTAAGCTCTTAAAGGGACACTATAGCATTAGAAATACAAACTCATATTCCTAATGCTATAGTGTTCTCTTTATTTAGATTCAGCACATGCGCCTTTAATCTAAATAAAAGTTGGGGGGAAAAGTTTTTACATATCTTTTTTCCAGCACTGAGATTTAATCCATGCAGCTGATCGACCTGCCTCCAGCAACATCAAACAGACACTTCTAAAAGTCTAACCCAATAGAGAAGATTGGGAACTAAAAGCGAGTGCACTGCAGCGCTGCGCTCGTATTAGAAGTTAGGTGTGAGGTAGACAACCCATAGAGGTATATTCAACCCTGTAATGTTAGCAATGCTGTCTCTACTAAACAGCAATGCTTTACATTGGAGGGTTAAAAACAAGAAGAACCACTCCACCCAGACACCTCACTGAGATAAAGTTGTCTGGGTGCCTTTAGTGGCCCTTTAAAGGAACACTAGGAATACAAATTTGTAAACCTAATGTTATAGCATTATTCAGCATTGAAAGGTTTAAAAAAACATTTTTTTTTTTTACTTACTTGCTTTGATACAGCACCAAGGATGGCGCTGCTCACCAAAACCTACACAGGTGACAGAACTAAGGAGGCATGGCCTTCTCTGTGATGGTCCAATTCAATGGAGGAGCTGCTGAGTAGTGTTACTCAATACCACAAGGGTTTTCAATGTCCCCTTCCCTATCCAAAGATAAGAAGGGTGGTGGGATATAAAGTTTTTTAAAATATTTTTTTTAAATAAAAATAAAATATATACATACACACATTAAGTTGCGTCCCTCTCAAACCC